CGGGGTGCGCTGGACGCGAACACCTTCATTCCCGTGCATTTATTTCCTCCCCGGAGTAGCAGCAATAACACCCATCAGCTTTACAGCTAGTTTTCCTCGTACGCCCTGATTTAAAATCCCACTCTCCCGTCGGCACACCAAGAAAAAAAGAGGCTCGCCGCTCTCACCTGGCGGCCATTTGCGGCGGCCGGCTGCAGACGCCTCTGCCCGATGCCCCGCACTGCCGAAGGGACGCGCACGCAGAGTCCCCGCACCGCGGCTGGCGCAGATCCGCGCCGTGAGGCAGCGAACGCGGCGCCCGGCGCCCGGCGCCCCGCGGCCACCCGCGCGCCCCCCCCCCGAGCAGCCGAGGCCTCCAAAGGCGCTTCGGTGAAGAGCTACGCGCGGCTCCGCACAGCCGCCCCCGAGCGCTCCGAGCACCGAACGGCGGCCACCCCCAGAGCCGCCCGGGAGCTCCTGGCGGAGCGCGACTCGCCCCGCTTTCACACCAGGAAGCGTTCGGCGCATCTCTGGCCGTCGCCTCCTGCGTGAACGCGCGACACATCCGCAGGTCCTCACCGAATCCACCAGCCTCGCGCCGCTGTTACGTCCCACGCAGCCACGCCGAGCGGCTCCCGCAGGCCGCCGCCTGCGCCGGGCGGCCGTTGGGCTCGAGCCGCCGCTCTGAGGCCGCCCGCGGGCGCGTGCGGCGCCCGCCTCCTCCGCCCGAGCTCGCGGCCGCCTTCCGCCGCGCGCCGCTCACCTGGCCGTACGGCCGCCGGCTTCTGCTACCTGCCCGCCGCGTGCCGCCCTAAGCGCCGTGCTCCGTGCGCGATGGGGCGGCGCGACTGCAGCGCGGGGAGCGGCCGCGGGACGGCGCCGTGGTGCGGGGCGGGTGGCAACAGAGCGCTGCCGCGACCCCGGGGGGAGAGCGCGAGGTGCCTCGGTGCGATGGCGGTGTGGCTGCAGCGAGGGTGTGGGTGTACAGGCAAGGCGGGGGTCCTCGAGCGAAAGCGAGCCTACTTGTATTTTTATTGGTCCTAGGCTTCTAGTAAAGAGCCCAGGTTGTTTCTAGATGCGGTAACTCATATGACACGTGCCTTTTTTGTCATACCTCTCCTGCCACAAAACCAACCAGCCAGAACTTTAAGGTGTTGCCCATATTTCCCAGCTTTTAACGTGCTTAAGGCAGCACTTCACAGTTACAGCAAAGCAAATTTCTTTTCAGGAACAGCACGCGAGTGCAATCACTACCTCAAAATTTGGCTCTTCGGCTTTTGCTATTGAAAAAAAAAACTTTTTTCAGAAGCACAGAGGACTTCGCAAGGATGTACACTAACACTCATTTTAATGCACTAAGAGAATGGTCATACCTTGCAGTCAGAATAAAGCCTCACGACAGTATCTGGTTTCTCCACTGTACAGAAAACAGCTCTGTTTCTGTACAGGCTCCACGGGTAGTCTGGCTATAAAGACCTTGATCCAAGGCACATATTCTTAAAACAAGAGCAATTGCAAATAAATGACCAAGCACTTAGGAATTGTCAGATAACTGTCATTTTTTTCCTTATAAATGTGTCACTAGTGTTTTAATGCCAAATTTGAACTTTTCTTTGGATTGTAAGAATTGACATCATGGGACTGCCTGCAAACAACCGAGATTAGTTTCCAAAACCAGTTCAAACTCCAAAAGCTTTTTCTGGTGAGTAACTTTATGAGACCTTGAGCAATTTAATTATCCCATGCCTTGCTTCTTCATTAAAGAAAAAAAGCAATCAAATACCTTATTGTTACTTATCCCACAGTTGCGCGCTTAGTGATAAAAAGAACAAAGTATGTGCGACACCGCCAGCTGGAGAGGACCTGCCTAATCATTTGGAAAACTATTTTCCAAAACTGTTAGTAACAAAAAAAAAGTTATAATGGCAAATGGAAATTAAGAAAATTTAAGTCTCATATGAACTTCACATTTCTGTTTATGTCTAAGTAACAGCAGTAGGTGGATGGGAAAGTACTATTTCTTCTGATATCCTATCACTTGAACTTATAAAAAAGTCCCTCAGATAGGAAAAGTTTAAACAAGCTAGCATTATTTTTGTATACACAAAGCAGTTAAAAGCCATTTATTCCTCCTCTCATCTTGATGGATCCAATCTCTTGATGGATTCCATAAAGCTGAGACACAATGAGGAAATCTGCATGACAAGACTGATGCCACCAATGCACTTTTTTTCCCCAATTCCATTGCCACCCCATCTGTTTAATGCCTGCCTCCTACATCCCCATACCAGTGCTCCCACAAGCACGTGCTCAACACCCGGTATGTACGCCAGCTCCCTGGCAGCACCATGTATAAATTCACCATAGAAACATAACATTATAGTATTTTTATTCATTCTAATTCCATTCTGCACCCTAAGATTTAAAAAAAGGTTATGAATTTTGTCCTTCACTAGAAGTTCAAGCGAAGCTTCTGCTGGCTTCCACCCTAACCTGCCTTGAAGTGAAAGAACAAACTATAACTATTTACAAAACAAGATCTTCCTTATAATGCAAAGATAATTACTGACTTCAAATGTAAAATATCACTGAAATACATGGAATATCACTGAAATGATACATACTGTTCTGTAGTGTCGGTCTCTGGTTCCTTTAACATCTGTTTTCCTAGTTCTCTTAGAACACCTGACATAAAAAGGGTTTAACATATCAGGCACATAATGTCATCCTATCCTAGAACAGATTTGAAAGGATTAATAAGCCAGTGAGTCAAAGTGCAAATCATATTAGAGATCTTTCTGAAAGCATACAGCTTCAACCTTTTACTTTCCACAGCATTGTTATTAAAATAGTTTTAATCAGTATTTCTTACTTCTAACTTTTACATATTCATATCTTATTGTCACAGCACCTCTTGATAGCCATAGTTGGTAGTGATGAAAACAAAGACAGAACAATTGAGTACAATAAAAAATGAAATCTTTATTCTTTTGGCTCAAATGTAATGTGGTTTACTGGTTTTTATGGTATAGCATTTTCCTGCATGCAGTTCACTGACACACAAGTCAATAATTTTTTGTAAAAGGAGGAGTCAACATCGAATTTTTGCTTGTGTAAGAAACACAAAATGTCCTGATGTGATCAGTTATACAAGTTTGCTATTCAATTCCTGTGGAAAAAAGAAACATATTGTGGATCCCATATTATATTTAGAACAGTTCTAGTGCAGCATGAATCAACAAGAATAAGAATAGTCTATGTAAACAAACACTGGTAAAGATTTCATGAATAAAAAGACTACCTTGAAACTTCTGATGCAGGCAGTGCTAGAATTTTAAACAAACCTTCCCCACCACATTTCAATTACAAGTTATACCTATTTGGAAGCAAGTGCATTTTGGACTCAGTTTGAAACTTCACATTAAAATATGTGCAAAAATACAGTACTAATAAAAAAGCAGAAACCTAAAGCTACCCCATCCTCTCCTTTGTTTCTTATTTTGTGAAGTTCTTCAATTAAAAAGTGCTATGGATAGAAAGTAACAAAAGTGACGGTGACATCAACCTGAAGATAATTATAATTTCTTATTATATATACAAAACACTGAAAAAAAAATAAAATGATATTTTTACAATATTTATATTTTCTTAGAAAATTCTATCCATGTATTTCATCAGATTCAGCAGTTTGCAACAAATCCTGTACAGTCCGACTATACACCGTACAGTACTCACTTAACATTTTAGAATGCAAAGCAAGAAGCTCTTGAGTAGCTGCAAACTATTGCTTGATGTCATGAAGGAATGATGTCTGACTGAACAATTTGTTTCACTTAACCACTGAGATATGGCTTCCCATATTCAACTTTTAACAGTGGAAGGAATAAAATTACAGCAGCAAAGGCAAGATAAACATGCATCAGTGATAGCTTCCAAACTATCTATTATGGTACAGAATATTTCATCTTAGTTCTTGAAAGCTTGCAAACTACACTTATTGTGGTACATATTTGATGCAATAAATATTGTGCATGGGTCATTATTTGTTTGCTCAAACATGCACCACAGGATAAAATAACTATTTACATAGACGGTACTTTTTTAATCAATACATACAATGTCAACCTTGCTGAGAGCAGAAGATGGCTAAACGATACTGCAGGGTGAGGCAGAACAACTTCATAATCCTTAAGTTTTGTGGGGTTTGGTAAATCCAATTTCCCAAGTTCAGGTAAAATGTTTTTTTACAAAAGAATACTTAAAAATGGACTCCCAGTCTCTCACTAAATTTTGTATGCAGAGTTCATTCAACTACACTTAAGTGACTTATGAAAAAATAAAACATCTGTTCTATTCTTGTAGACTGTGGGAATTTACAGGCACATTAAGATCTATCTGGATGAGATACTGGATGTATACTGTTTTTAAGCACCTCAAAATATAGAGCCATCCTGAAACATGGAAGTAGTCAGACTCTGCTGCTTTGTGCGACGTCATGTTTTTCCATGCATGAACTACAAGTGCAGCATGCCTTCATGCAGATCACTTCTGTCTGTACATATAGAGAATCCGAGAGTAGAACACCTGGTTCTCGTACCCCCTTCCCCAACATAAAACCCATTTACAAAAATAGTCACATATAATAGTAAACAACCTGTGAATTAAAAAATGATAAGTTCACCAACACTGATTTTTGTAAAAATATGGCAGATGTGGCTGTTGAAATGCAAACAGTGGATACAATTTTTGTACTGAGTGTTTTACGTTAAACACAGAGATTCCTAGGTCCGCACCTTTTTTAAAACCAGTCCCTACAGTCTGATTGGCCATTTTATCTTCTCTTCAGCAGTGTCAGCTGGTAATAAAAACAACAACCTCCTGTCAAGATGTTACCCTGTTTTACAGAGTTGCAGTTTGATGACGAGGGGTCACTGTCTTGTTATAGGCACTGACCTTCTTTATATATATATATATGCAATTATATATATATTTATATAAGTAAAAACTGTCAGTTTGGCATGTACCTCCTACAGGAGTCCTGTGGACACAAATACATATTTTCTTAGGCTGTAAACAGTTTATCGCAAACAGAATTATGTGTTACTTTTTACTTTCCCTGCTGTCTTTACCTTTATCTTCTTTTTCTGATTTGTCTTTTTCATATTTATCCTTGTCTGGCTTTGTTACACTATCATAGGATGGTGGGGAGGTTGTGGATGGGGTCATATCTGTTTTCTCTGGAGTGGAGTTCTCATTTAATTTATCCATAATCATATCTTCTTTCATGGGCAGATCATCCTCATCTTTACCTTTATCCTGATTAAATATACATGAAACTTTTTTGACTTTCTGCCTTAAAAGGTGACGCCTGAAAGCACGTTGAATAACAACAGCAGATACCTCCTCCTGTTTCCTTTTTAATGTGGTTGTGATTGGTTCATAGGAGACTTTGGAAGGATTGGCTGCCATAAATCGGTCTTCCATCTGTATCCTGAGGGCATCCATCTCCCCACTTTCCCCTAACACACGCTTTGTGAAAGCAAACAAGATGTCAAGGCAGTGAATTCTGTCACCGCTTACCATGGGCAGATCCATTGCAATCAGCTGGACCTTGTTTGGTTTTGCTATGAGAAGAGGAGGATCTAACGAAGCTGCAAAATCTGATAGTTTACTGAACTCTATGAATTGTGTTGCATCTGGATCAAACTTCTCCCAGACTTCATAGAACATCTCAAAGTCATCCTCGCTCAAGGGCTCAGCACTTTCTTCAGTAGCAACACTGAAGTTCTCCAGAATGACAGCAATGTACATGTTCACCACCACCAGAAAGGATATGATGATGTAGCTGACAAAGAAGAAAATCCCAACCGAAGGGTTGCCACAGTCGCCTTTAACAGAGCTCCCTGGGTGATCTTTATGAGGGTCACAGTCCGGCTCCCCGCTGTTAAGAATTGGGGCTAACAAGCCATCCCAGCCAGCAGATGTGGTAATTTGAAATAGGCAGATCATGCTGTTGCCAAATGTTTCAAAGTTGAACATGTCATCAATTCCAACTTCCCTCTTAACGTAGGCAAAGTTGGACATGCCAAATATGGCATAGATAAACATGACCAAGAAGAGCAGCAGGCCAATGTTGAACAAAGCAGGAAGAGACATCATCAGAGCAAAAAGCAGAGTGCGGATTCCCTTTGCGCCTTTAATGAGACGCAGGATGCGACCTATTCTGGCAAGTCGGATGACTCGGAACAAAGTAGGAGACACAAAATATTTCTCAATCATCTCAGCTAAAAACATTCCTGTTGAAAAACAAGTCATATTAGTCAATGATACTACTGTATTTCAGTTTCCCCAGAATTAGCCATTTCATGAAAATGAGTTGTTCTTACCTACTATGGAAAGAATGACAACTACAAAATCAAAAATATTCCAGCCGATGGTGAAGTAGTAATGGCGAAGTGAAATCAATTTCAAGACAAATTCTCCAGTGAAAAGTACAATAAACACAAGGTTAATCCAATATAAAATGTTTTCCATGTCTTCACTCTGGTCATCTGTTTCTACCATCATTGTGACCATGTTAAGGCAGATAAGTATCATGATACTGATATCAAATGCTTGTTTTGTTACAAAGTCAAAGACCATGCCTTGGAATTTGTTCTGGGAAGGAAAAAAAAAACCAAAGTTGCGTTACATTATGCATGGGGTAAAATTTCTTTCCTTTTTTTCCAAATTGCTACAAATTAATTAAATCTAGCATGTAAGGGGATTTCATGTCTTCCATAAAGTCTTCCATTTGTATGAATTTTCCAGTTTGCACATGTAAACACAAACCAATCAGAAATGCAAATACTATGTCTATAAGCATTAACAGTTAGATTTCAAAATACTCATGGTAGTTTTTAAAGTTGCAAAGGTCAATTTTCTATCTCAAACAAGTTCACTGTAAGATTTTGTGTCACAATATTAAATGAAGTCTTAACCAGGCAAAAGTTGGGGAAAAAAAAAAAGAAGTGTAAAGAGGCTGAGAGTTAACAGCACTTCATTTGTCCTAAATCTTAAGGAAACACAGAAAAATTTCAAGCCCAAGTTCAGTGTTCTTCATGTTACCAAAATAACCTTTACAACACCTTGCATTTTCAGCTATAGAGAATTTACTGATGGCTGAGTGGGCATCTCAGCTGGTTCCACAGTCCAAAGTAGAACTGCAGAGCTGGAATCACTGCACCATCTAAACTTTGCTCTGAAGTGCCACGGGAGAGCTGGAGGAAAAAAAAATTGTATGGATCGTGCAGCAAGAATGAATGTGAGAGGTAAAAGGATGTTTTTTTTCAGGCAATAATATTGTAACTTGCTTCCAGTCTTCCCTGATGACTGAAAAGGCCTATGCCCTAAAACTTTCACATATTTTGACAAATATCCATTGTTTTAGTCTTTTTCTTTGTTTCGAAAAAAATGTCACATATAATGTCACTGCCATCTGTAAAGAGAAAATGAAGGGGAAAAAAGGAAAGGTTAAGGTCATGTTGAGGCTACAAAAGATAAATATTCTGTATTTCAGATGAATAAAACTTTTTTATATCTTTTTGTTTGTGTGTTTCAGGTTACAACTTAATTCAGTCTAAGACATACCCAAAACAGTTTTTAAATAAATGTAAAAAGAGAAGGTCTTTTTTCTTACTGCTGGTCGTGGTATAGGCTTCTGTGGTTTCTTTGAACCCAACTTTTTCATTGCATTGTAGTATTTCTTCTGTTCTTCTGTCATAAAAATATCTTGACCTCCAAAGTAAAGCGAAGAGACAAAAACTGGTTAAAATCACATATTTCTATTGATTACTTATAAGCAGGCATACATATTAATAATAATCACTCTCATTCTAATCTGTGGGAAAATTAGAATAGACATCTAAGTTCCTGTTTATCTTGATTATTAGTATATGAGTAACAAAAAAATTGCTTTATAAATGTCACTTTCAAAGTTTAGGATATTTTTTGAAAGATTCTTGAACTTTAAATGATAGATTTCTTGTTTTCATTTGAGTGATACAGGTAATAAGAACCTTCAGGAAGGAGAAGTGCTTTTTCTTTGTTCTGCTGAAGTTATTATGGAGACACGAATGAACAAAACATTCCAATCCTGTGCTCTTATTTTTCCTTTTGAGTAAATTTTGGCAAAATATTAGAATTGACTACTATGATACCAAAGAAAGATGAGAAGTTAGTCATGCAATTAAATCTCACAACTTTTATTTTCTAACCACAAATGCAGGACTTGGAGCAGAAGATCCTGGAACTATTACATGGATTGAGAAGGAAAAAAAAGCCAATTTCTCTCCATCTCAACAAATTTCAATATATGACTCCAGCAGCATTTCCACCAGTTCACTGTTCTTCCAGATAATTTAATTCAGTTTTGTTGCTGAAACACTGCTGCCTTTTGAGGCAGTGTTGACAAAATAAGATGACTAAAGGGAGGACAAATAAATTTATTAAAATACTTACTATTACAGCTCAGAAATCTAGGCTGCTGAGCTCAGAGATTTGACAATAACACAACTAAGAGGTTTTATAGCTGCATTTAAGTATTTCAGTGATTATTTTTTTTTATAATCTTGTTAAAGATTCCAATCTGAAATCCACATCTTTACATTAGCATTGAATATTTCACTAACCATGGAAAGACTTCTGGTATCACTTGTCCGTCAAACAACATTTATCAAGACAAACTGTACTGCTTTATATCAACTTTATGTATTTAATATGCAAAGTAGGTTAACTTATCTTAAAATGAAGCCTGAAAAGAAAATAAAGTTATTGTTTGTGGACCAAAAGGATCAACTGTTAGCTTTCTTTTCTGAGTAACGATGAAATACTTATCTTTTTTTTCTGTTGGTTGAAATTGTCTATGATGACACCAATGAAAAGGTTCAAGGTAAAGAATGATCCAAAGATTATAAAGATGACAAAGTAAAGATACATGTATAGGTTATCTTCATACTTAGGCTGATCCAAAACCTGCAGAAAGGCATAAACACTAAGCCTTAGTTTAAATGTGGACACAGAGCTGAATAGCTGCTGAGTATTTATAAAGTAATATTCTTGACAAAAGACTTTGCTATTGAACTTGATACTTCATTTTCCAAAACTCTTATTCACTATATTATGTAGAGTAAATACTGAAGTCACAATTTTTTTTAAACTAGGATTACCATCCATCTGAATCTGTACACAACCAGAAACATCAACTTTTAAAGCTGTGAAGATCTTAGTGTATCTTGTGAGAAGCCACCAGTGTAGGCTTGTAGAGCTTCACTACTACAGGCACTAAGTAAGCTTCCCTGGATTTTAGTATTTGTTACATATTAATTTTGTACAACTTCTTTTCTTACTGTTTTACATCTCACTGCAATCTACCCTAATTTTAACCTGAGTTTTAACTCAAAAACCTGACTAATGCAGGTTACAGCACATGTTCTTTGCAGTGGTCTCGGTAGGCTAAAGAAAGGCATCCAAACAATGTTTAGAGTGAGCATGTTTTTTTGGTACAGCTGTGCACATTTATTATATTACAACAGATCTCCTGCTGTGAGTGTAGCTTACAAAAAACTTGGAGTTTCACCATTATAGTTTATTTAGTTGTTTACTTAGAATTAGAGCACAATTTGCACCAAGGAAGGAAGGGGAAGACAAAACAGTATGAAAATTCGCAGGCCAAGTTAAGAATAGAAACTGTGCCCTGAAGAAAAATCAGGCTGTTTGCAGAAGATAGCGAAAATCTCACCTTTAAAAAAAGATTAGTGGTACAAACCATAATCTCTAAGCTGTGTATCCATGCCTGTTTCCAAACGTAATTAAAACCTCAATACACACAATGAGAGGAGGAAAAGGCATTTCATGGCAACAGTTCAGTCTGCTGCGGAATTAAGGAATTTTGGTCCAACTGCACCACAGAGAATTTGGACCTTTTAGGACTGCTCCTCTGTTTTTTTTTTTTGTCTCTTGTATTCTTCCTATGGCTTCAATTTTCTCTAACTATAAAACTGCAATAACTCCTTGTTCTCTCGCTTTTACTGTTATTTCTAAAAGATGGTGTTAAAGTTATGTTCTTAAGTCTTACAGCTCATACAGTCAAACTGATAGAATTGAGGGAGTACACTTACATTACGAGAATCCACAGCAGCATACATGATATCCATCCATCCTTTGAATGTAGCCTATAAACAGAACACCGGTGTTTACCTCACGCTTTTTCTGGGAAACGGCTTGTCAGAAACATTTAAGAGCTGAAGACTAACCACGTTTAAAAATTTAATCCAAAACACCAGCTCAGTGTAATATTAATAGGCAATAAAACATTGTACGTTTTATTCATATATGGGAATCACAAGCAAATTGTAATGTTTGACTATAAAGGACACAACCTGTATTAAATTAAGAACTTTATATATAATGAGTAACACACGATACAAATTATTTTCTGTGTATGAGCAAAGTAGGTATACTTGATACAGATTCAACACATCCTGGGTAAATTTAATTGCTTGTTTTTCTTATGTTAGTCACTACAGCCTCTACATTGGTATTATTTATGTAGTGTCACAGACTTATCCACACATAAGAGTTATCCCCAGTTCTTGGCTCTAATGGATGACTCTTACAAACTGTTGAGGTGATATACCACAGAATTTTTGAGCAAGAATTCAAATTTATTTGACTTCATAGCTCACAGAAATGAATACCTCTCTGGATCAGGAATAACTATTTATCCTGTGTACATGACAACAAATTTGTCAAGATTAATTAACACTAATTAGAAATAATACAGCCAGGAAGAAATAGCTTGCATTTATGACGAAGAACCTCCCTAAAATGCACTGCACTGTATAAGCATGGGTGATCCCAAATCTAAAGAACATATTTAAATGCTAATAATCAGAAAGATAAGAGAAATATATTTAATTTGGAACATATGAATTCACAGGATTCTTAAAATTGCTGACAAAGTATCTTGGGAAGCATGTTTTCTACAGCAGTTTTAAGTTAGAACCTTGTAAAATATAGTAAGAATTTTAATTATATGTAAATACAATTTTAGAGAGACTTTACAAACAGGAATATATCATTAAAAGTTATCTTTAAGATAAGAGATCTTTATCTCTGCTGTGAGAATTCTGAAAGTACCAAACTTTCACATATGCCCCTGCAAGTTCATCTCTTTTAAAACCAAGCTCAACGTCCAACAAGTAGAAGCATACTATATACATAATCAAACAGAAAAGCAAGGCTGATCTATAATCGGAAGAACTGAGATGCAAGGCTGATACATATTTGAAGAAAGGTTAAAAAAAAAAAAACACTCTATATATGTTAAAAATCCATTTCTGCTTACAGTTTTCCACACAGACGCATGTATATGCACACATACATATGTATATATTTTTAAAACACACTCCACAATTTACTTAAGGATTTTTATAGGCATAATGCCAAACAAAGAAGCAAGGAAAAGTATTTCTGCCTGAAAGAAGTGAATAGAAATAACTTTTTCTGTTAGATGTAAACCACAGAGATATAAAAAGAGAAATAGACATTCAGGAGTGGTGACTTACCACTTGAAGTAAAGAAAGGTAACCAAGGCCTACATTATCAAAGTTAACTTTCACATTCTTCCATCTGGCAGTTTCATTGTTTTTAATGAGCTCCTCACATTGGCTGTAATTGTTGATTTGGCTGATATCAAATCTCTCATCAGTTGTAGTGTTAACACAGTAGTAAAATTTTCCAGCAAATAGATTTACACCCATGATACTGAAGATCAGCCAGAATATAAGGCAAACAAGAAGCACATTCATAATGGATGGAATTGCTCCCAAGAGGGCATTTACAACCACCTGGTGTACAAATGAAACCAGATACAGTGTAAGAACACAAACACTACTATCTTCATTAGACTGACTTAAATGTACCTCTCTGTTTTAATTCATTATTAATCTGTATTATACTTTTGGATTATAATACTATACAAATTTTGAAGAAAGATAAAGTATCAGCATAATTAGAAGGAAAACCATACAAACAGAAGCAAATGGAAGCTTTAAGTAATGGGAAAAAAAAGAAGAAAATATAAAATGAACTTTAAAAACAAACAGCATTAATCAATAATTTTAAAAATACGTACTTAATATATGTCTACAAAATTGTATCTGTAATATTTCTAATGACTGATTGCATCAAGCACAAAAAAAAATTTCTCTATTACATTTTTATTGGATAAACAATCCTAATCAATGTTTTTATTGGATAAACAGTCCTAATCAATGTTATTGAGCACATTTTTACTTGAAAGTAATTTTAAGACTTCTTTTAAATAAAACTGGGAGATGTATCTATGTTCATTTGGATGGCTATATATAAAAGCAGAAAAGCAGCCATGTTCAAACAGCAGGCTATCTGAACACAAAAATGCTCGTAGTGAAAGCAGCAGATAAGACTTAAAGCAGATTTAATTTATTTAATGCTGAAATTGATGAACTCCTAAATCAGGTAGCTTTGGTCTTAAGTTTTTTTGTAATAACTATGGAACAACTCTGCCCACTTTTCCAAAAAAAAAAAAAAAAAAAAAAAAAACTGAATCAGTTCCATAGAATCTAACACAGATTTTGTTTTTAAAAAATGCAGGATATCAGGTATTACATAGATGTGATAATACATGACTGACTCAGGTTATATGACATAGGTACTACAACAGATCTGATAGTACATTAGTCTGTTTCTAATTGTAAAAAATGCTGGCCTTATGTTTATGTTTCATGGGTTTCACAGAATTCATTACTTGCAAAATTAGTCATCTAAGCAAATCAACTTTCATTCATATCTATTTTATATGACTGAAAATAAAACCTTCAAATGTTACAGTAGGTGAAGATCTACCATCCTGTACAACATATAGTAGACATGGCCTGAAGAAAAGAAGAAATACCTCTTCAACTTTCAGAGCTCCTCTTATGTCAAAATAATACCTCTTTGAGGTAATCCACACTTCGGACAACATTATAAATTTCCTATGACATCAATTAAACTCATGTTATGTTAAATTTAGATGCTGGAACAAATTAGAATTAATATAAGCTATTCTCTGATTCCATTAAGGCACAGAACATTGGATGAACTCTCCCATGCTTCTTGAACTTTTTTTTTTTTTTTTTTTTTTTTTGCCACAAACTTTAAGTCACATATTGCAATAAATATTTATCTCTAACAGGGACATTTTAATAATCAAAATAATCTGTTAAACATAATAAAATATGCTTAGCAATATTTATTATAAATCAATAAGCAACAACAATACAGCATTTTATCACTCATGAGCAGGGAAGAGATCAATGATTAATCTATTCTTACTATTTCAGCAGTGCTCTCTTATGCTGACTTGTATCCATAGATTTGTCAATGATGTGCCCTTGCAGGGCTGTGAGCAGGCCTACATAAAGAAACTATTATCTTAATAATAATGTTGAATTAATTTGAATTGGAGATCTAGGAAGTTATTGATTAAAACTGGAAGTCTGACGGGAATAATGAACGGCTATAGATTTTTTTCCAATTCTGTAACATTTTCCAAAAATCTGTTAGCTAAGAAAATATTATTTTTATTTAAGGTTATCTCAATTATTCCTAAAAAATACAATTAAAAATATAATTAGAATCTTTAGCTGTAGAAGTATTGTTTATTAAAAATAAATATTGAAATATAAAGAGATAGATAATGAAGATATTTGTTTTCTAGTTTTCAGTCTCATTACACCTGAGAATGCTGTTCCTTGTTCTACTACAGCTGCAGGTCAAGTCATGTTATTCTTTCTATTACTGCTAAATTTCACAAGCGACATACTTTCTCTGGTATTGTCTGAGTCCTGAAGCTATAGCAGAACCAGATTAAAGTATGTATCATTTGAAGACACTCAAAATATAATTTTGAGTATTATGAGAAAAGCTTCTAGATACCTCCAGGCTTGCATTGAAAGTAGGGGCACAAGAAAGGAGGACAAGTGAAAAGAAAAAAAAATAATTAAAAAGAGATTTAAGAGCATCCTTTTCTTATTTAAATAAATAATAATAATAAAAAAAGTAGCATGGGCCTAGCACTATATAGCAGTGAGTGACAGCACTCAGGACAGAACACAGACAGATCATGTCTCACTGTAGTTCTCAACCCCACAGTCCAGTTTCCTGAAGCTTCACATGCAAATTAAAACTTATTTCCATTATCAAGAGTGATGGGAAGATGCAGTGGAAACATCACATGCTACCATTAATTAGAAATAGAGGAATATTTTCTATTCATTATTAATTTGGGTAGGCACAACAAACCATGATCCTAGAGAATACTACAGTGGATTAAAACTTCTAGATGTGTAGAAAAGAATTTCTTGTATCTATATAGGAACTACAGTCATAGAATAAAATCATAGAGTGGCCTAGGTTGGAAGGACCTCAAAGATCACCTACTTCTAAGTCCTCTGCTGCAGGCAGGGTTCCCAGTAACTAAATCAAGCACCAGATCATGTTGTCCAGGGCCATGTCCAACCTGGCCTTGAACTCCTCCAGGGATGGAACATCCACAGCTTATCTGTGCAGCTTATTCTAGCATCTCACCACCGTTGAGTGAAAAATTTCCCCCTGACATCTAATCTAAATTTTTTGTCTCTTAATGCAGAACTGTTCCCTCTTGTCCTATCACTTTCTGTACAAAAAGAAGTTTATTTCCTTCCTGCTTATAAGCTCCCTGTAAGTATTTTGAAAGCCAGTATCTGGTCTACCCTGGGCCTTTTCTCAAAGTTCAACTGTCTCAGCCTGCCTTTGTAGGAGAGGTACTCTAGTCCTCAGATCATCTCTGTACCCATTCCAGAAGCTCCACATCTTGTGCTCAGTGGAAGTAATTTTAAGTACCCATGAAAATATGTACACCATACTATAGCGTTATATTTTCAGTTCAAAGAAATTAATGTATTATGAAGAGATACCTTGAATTTCCAGGTATCAGATCTTAAAATCATTTTGTAATTAATTCCTTCGCCAACTTGAGCTACTTAGCTTTAAAACCTTAAGACTGAGGATTTTTTAAATAATCCAAAATTCTTTATATCCATAAAAATGTTATTCCAATAGTTAATTGCTTAAATAACAAAAACATGTCTATTTTTATTCTAAAGTTAACTTCATGCACTACTTATTATTATATCTATTCCTAAAGTCATAGATCTCCTTCTTATTCAGATGATTTACTAAGAGATACAGTCAGCAGATCCAGATCAAATCAGTAGGCAAAGCATCAACATGAAATTTACGAGATGGAAAATAACTCCCAAATCTTTACAAAATGCACTACTTTTTTTTTCTTTCCACACTAAATTTCCACTTCATGAATTTGCCACACAAAGTTGTGTTCTCAATTTTTTTGCTAACCATTCTGATTAAAAAGCAACAATTAATGTGTTTTTTAGAAAGATACTTTACACAGGCCCTTTATCTGATAAAACATCCCAAATGTTGACATTTTTCTCAGCATAGTTCTGAAGGCTTTTTTTTTTTTAACTGAAAATCCTGAATCGTGCCTATTTTAACCTAAACACAGAAGATAAAGAACAACGAAAACTTTACTTTCTTTGCAATTTTCAAAACAAATATTTTTTTTCAGTTCAGAAGAGAGAATACAGCGGCTGTTCTGAAAGTAATGCCTCTTATTTTATTATGCTGTCCCACAACATCAGGAGCAGATGTTGGGTTTATGGCAGTATAGGCTGAACCTTCCCACTAATATTCCAATACATGTAGTTGCCGTATGACAGATGGCAGCAGAGGGGCAGTTTGACAAAATAATGTGAAGTCTCATGTGGAAGTACGGATGAAGCAAAGGGGTGTCACTGTATTCCTGTGTAAGGAAAACATTGCAGCCACTGACATTCATTAATGCTTCTTGAATGTTTATGGAGACCAAACAGCGGATGTTAGACAAGCCATGTTCCAGATGGCCATGCAGATTTCTACAAGTGCAGCATGCAGGCTCTTGTTCATCAATGGCAAAAATGCATAGCCAATCTTAGTGACTACGCTGATAAACAGTGCTTGTAGCTGAGAATATGCTCTATCAAATAGAGTTATTGTGCTATTTGTATCTCTTGTAGTTTACATGGAAATAAATAGGAGGTATTACTTTCAGAGCGACCTACGCACAGGTAGCTACTTAGAACACAGGCATTTTAACTTCTTCAAAAATGCTATAGGAAAAAAAACATATTACGCTGAGGAAATCTATGAGAATTCATATTCTGATGAGGGCTCTCTCAAAATGGTAGTGTTGTGCAGACTAAATTTCAGAAAAAAAAAGAAAAATTAAACTTAATTACTAAGCAGGGTAGAAATCTACATTTACTAAGAATAAGGCAAAATACTTTTTAAAGCATGGCAAAAATTTTGTGTGAAAAGTTTTTTTATGTAATTTTAACAGGCCTTTCCTGTAACTTATCACTGTGGAATTTTTAAGAACAGATGTGGTAAGAGTACCAAAGCAAATGTAGAGTGGCTAGACAGCCCACCAAGAAAGCATCTGTGAGATTCAGAAATTTGTTGGAGGCAAGTGCATGGTATTTTCCATTTGAATATCAAAACCTATTTCCTTTTTAGTTGGAAGTCTTTTGATTTCCATCACATTTTCTCTAGAAAAATCAAGAAGCTGTAGTTGACTTAAAAATTTACTAATAAGCTTTTAAACCAAGGTCTCAAAGATCAGTGATCACAGCAGGTAGATCACACAAGGACCTTTTTTAATTCATCAATAAGTTTTCAACTCAGGTACATTTGCTGATTAGACTTATAGCTATGTGTTCCAGTTAGACATATAGACCCTGAATGAATATGTCAGACATCTTGTGGCTGGAACTGAAATGCCTTTTATCTCCAGTTGTTGACTACTGCCTATAAGAGAAACATTTCTAGAGTTTTCATGTCATAGCAAAATATGTAAGGTCTTTGTCCATTCCAGTATACTGAAGAAATGATTTGAACTAATCACTAATCTGACTTCGCACTAAAATACACTGAGAGCCAATTAGGGCAAATCAGGGTCTCAGCTTTGGTAACTGTTACAGCAATAACTACTGTAGATAGTAACTTCTCAAACTTATCCAGCTCTGCCAGCAAAAATGTCTTCCCATATGTTTTCAGCCTTCTTAGTGCTCTGCAGATTACAATCAACATTTTAAAGTCAATACAGAAAGCAGTAAACAGTCAGTTTAAGCCAGAAATCATAAAAGAAAACATCAGCTCCATCTTCAGCGTGCTACAAATGCTGTTTCAAGTAGAATGCAATAGTCATCTACTCTGAAGGAGTGAAGGCATTTTATCACTGCCAATTTTCTTACATATGGATTCATAACAAAATTTTTAATTTGTAACAGAAATTGCCAATTAGTATTTTCATAATAGTATGTTAAAAGATTTTTGATGGACTATGGATATGACATTCTATACTTGTAGGAAAACACATGTATGCATATATATGTATATGTGCTCATACTTTTATGAGGAAACGTTGATTTTTTTAAAACTATTTCAGCTGTAAGAGGATTTAATCACATAGGATAAATTCAGTCATGTAGTAAAATTCCAGAGATCCATGCAGTTGATAAACCCTTGGGCCTTCAGGAAAACATGAAATTTGCTGAAAGGCCAGCAAACTTAAATAAATGTTACAATGTGTGCAATAACACATGAATTCATATAAGCAGATGAAGTCTTTTGCTTATATGTTAGTGATAAATGTAAAATATATAAGATGATGGTGCAGCATTTTTGCATGGATTTGTCATTGATTATTCTGCATGCATTGCTTCTGTGTATGCATGCATTATTTCAAATTCTTTCATTTTTTCTTACCCTCATCCCTTCAAATCGCGACAAGGCTCTCAGAGGTCTCAAAGCTCTTAGTGTCCTAAGGGATTTAATCGCACCAAGTTCTGAGTAGCCCAAGGCATTAGCTGTTAAGCTAACCAAAGAGACCTACACAAAAACAGAAAGGCAATAGTGCTCATTCATCTTGTATATCCTTTGATACATATGGTGGGATGACATGTGCCCTGAACTTCAAAGAAGATTCAAGGGTAGACCTCTTTCTCTAGGAATCCTTCTGTAATGCAGAAAGTTTTTAAGTCAGACAAAGCAGAATAAAAGTATATCCTAGGTACCTGTTGATGAAATCATCTTTGTAGAATGGTATACAAATGTCTTCTAAATTCACATAAACCAGCCAATATTTGGTGGTATTTAATGAAAAATGAAGTCGCATGCAAAAAGAAAATTTGCAGAAGTTGGGTGAATTGGAATGCTCAATTTAGGACAAGACTTTCCATGTTATCTTCAGAACTTGAGAATGTAAAAGCTCTCAAAAACTACATTCAGACCTGGCCTTTGGTCAAACATAAATTTCTAGTGTCCAGAAAATCTTATACAACAGCTGTAGCTACCAGTGCTGCTCAGATTTAGCAAGACTAATCAAAACTGATAACCAACTGTTTGTTAGATAATGGTAGGGAACTTCACTGTTAGGCATATCCACACTTCATTACATTCCCTGTGAATCCTTTAACAACTTCATCAATTTTGACTTGTGTAATGCTGGTCTGGTCTGCAGACAGATGATTAAATAAAACAGAATAGCTGTAAAATAAATAATACAATTACCTTTCATCAGTAATCCTTAAAAATGTATTTATAGTAGACCATTTGGAAGGAATGGTCCTAGTAAAGAAAATTTTTAACATCTACTGCAATTTAATGCCTCTTTCGGCCTTCCTGTTCTCTCATTTCTGTCATTTCCACATTAACCTCTTTGCTTAGTTATTTCACTCCTCCAACGTAACACTTGAAAAAAATACTCTGGAAATTGTTGTGGTTTTGGGTTTTTTTTTTTTTTTTTTTTTCCATGCAAACAATTGCTATAGAGAAAGATTCCCATGAAAATCTCAGAAAGATATTCATAAAGTTCACTGCAGTAACTAAACCAGAGATTATCAAATAAGAATTGAATAATTTTGATAAATACAGTGAACATAGAGTGACAATGTAAAGTACGAAGCCTCTGTAGAACACTACTGATTGAAGATTTACATAATCTTATGCCATTAAATATTTCACAGGGGTTTACTCAACCACAGCATTCTAACATGGCACCTAGACATATTTTAGCATAGGATCTCTAGGGATGGTATGGATATAAAATTAGAATGTTTGCCAAGCTCTGTGTAATAAACACTTCTTGGTCTATCATACTGTACTGCTAGGGAGGTATGCAGTGGTTTCTACAGAATTCTGCTGCTGATCAGAACAAGTGAACAAGAGAGTCAAGACACGCTCTTACCTTGCATTCTATGGGAATTTCACATGCAGAACTGAGTGATGCCCTTTTAGCACAGACAGATGTAATCAGGATATTGAGGATGGAAGGGAAATGGATGTCTGCTACATGGCTAAAGATCTGCAGTCTTCCATTTTTTGCTACCCAGTAATATGCATACACTGTTTGGCAGTTAAGACTTGAAATTACAATACTCTGTGCACTAGGTCCTTCAGAAAATGTGATCTGTTTGGTGGTGCGGCATTTTGAAAATCTCTGGAGTACCCATTTCAAGGGAGCTCAGCTATAGCTCTCTAAGTGACTGCTTAAGGTTGCATATGTGATACAGTTAAAAGCACAAAAGTACTGAGTAGTACTGAGAGTTCCTAGCAGTATTTTTCTTTCATCACACTAAGTGATAGGATACACACTAAAGCAGTAGAAAGTTAGAAACTTTCAAATCAATTGCTTTCAAATACTCAAATTCCACATAGAGTTAAAACTCATGAAGATCAGCAACATCCATTCCACACAGCAAAATTACCAAAAAAGCATACTTTCAATAAAGCTCAATAACTTCATAAAACTACAGAATATCAGAAAAAAAAATCTAGAATAAGAAGTACATCTGTATAACTTTTCTTTTCCAAACAGAATTATAAAGTAAATCACAACAGCAATTTTAAAACAGAACTTCCTTTGGCTCGAGCAGTATGTTTATCTAAACACATAATCCTGTGATTTTTAGAGCTTGTGGTACATGATATGGAAAAGAATACATACATCAACAATGAGGAAGTCCAGCCAGCACCATGCATTAGTGAAATAGGTTTGAAAGCCATAAGCCACCCATTTTAAAAGCATTTCCAGAATGAAGATGTAAGTAAAAACTTTGTCAGCATATTCCAGCATGGTCTTGATAGTCTTACGTTGTTCTATGTATATATCTTCAAATGCCTGTGAAAAAGATTTTTAGGATATAATTAAATGACTTCCTAATTTGCAATGCAGGATATAGTACCCAACAGAGTATTTGAGTTGAAAAGATATACGTGATGATTAGCCACATATTCTTACCAAAATTCTTACCAAAATCCTTTCACTTAATACCATAGTCTTCATAACACTGTAGTGCTCATCTTTCAGCTGAGCTGGACAATGATTCATGAAACTTACTGTAATACTATTCTCCAAATCACATTTTCATTCGTTTCCATGAATAGCAATAGCTTATTGGCATAAGGATTTCCCTTTGACAGTTCCAACTTTGTATCAAAACTTTATATCAAAATTATTCATATTACATTAGAAATTTAATAATGCCTTGTGATATATAATTTTGAGAAATGAGTAATTGAACCCAAACTATACGCACAACCCACAAAGCAATTCTAAACAGAAATTTCAAAAGGAAAGATCTATATCAACAGTGAATCACTGCGACCTGAAATGCAAGTGTAGCGAGCGCACTGTATTTTGCTCCTGCTATGAGAGACTAATTGCTTCTGTACTTACTCAGTGTACCTGATTTAAGGTCAATTTGGCAAAAAAAACCTGATTGAATCATTATACCTTACATCTCATTTTGCAATTCAAGTTGCTGTTCATATCTTCCTAGCTCTGCAATCAAATCATACTCTATGCATCTCCTCTGAGAAAAAAGAGTTACTAGTATATAAAAAGAATATGGAGATGTGAGCACCAGACTGATGTAGCTGATTTCTTATTTTCATGAACAGTAGCTACATTTTTAACTCATCTAACAATTTCTTTCATAGCCTGAGAGAAAACTTACAAGTTCACCACAATACATGCCAAATATTTGTTCACATACATTGGCATTAGAACATCACTGAATTGGATATTAAATTCTGATGTTTACTGTAGCTATAAAATGAATTGTAACTCCAAATGCTTGCTAAAATAGACATAGTTGTTTCATCTTAACTTACCAGCGCACCACTGCTGAGGAGAATCATGAAGACAATAAAGGTCTCAAACCAGTTGTGTTCAACAATCTTATAGCATGTTTTCCTAAGATTCCACCAGATTTTCCCTTTCCCATCTTCGACACTGACTTGACAGCACTTGAATCTTCGCACACAGCCTAAGTGTGATAATAAATTGAGATGTCAAAAAAAGGCTAATAGGAATTACAGATGAACAAAAGCAATTTGGCTCATTTCAGAATTACTGCAATAGATGGCTGTAAATAAGTATCTTTCTGAATATTTGAGGGCCTTAGTTTCAATATTTGAAATAGAAGTTCTGTAACTTTCATAATATCTATCAAGGAGAAAGTGAGCACCACAACAGCACCTATGAAGGAGATACTCATACAAAAAAAATATAATTGTAATCACAAGTCAGCTTATTGATTTCAACTGAGAATAGAACCCAGCCCACACCAACAAAATTAGGCCTTATCATGTGAATATATTTTGCTTTTCCTACCTTCTGTAAAACAAGCCTCAGGCTCCAGAGATTCTTCAGGTTCTACTTCTGGCTGCTCCCCTTCTGGAGGTAGTCCAATATCAACTGTGCTACCTTCTGATGAACTGGAGGCATTTAATTTCTGTGAATTAAAACCCACATATACCATTATTTTTTCAAATTTGAATTATTTTGAATAGACGTTAATGTTTGAAATGCATATCAAAATATTTTGCATGTATTTCATGCTCTGAAATTAAAATAATAATTTTGATATACAATATATAATGCCAAATTGCTCTACTACAGGTGAGGTCACAAGATTAGAAAAATTGTATTATGTATTCCCCCTCAATGAAATATTTTCATGTTTTCATATAAGGAATTGCTGAAATAATTAGACTAGTATTCTGAGCCACATACAAGAAATCTTAAAAAAAATTCCTATAAGTTAGGAATGGGTGCCTTCCACAGTTTGTACTGCTTTATTATTCCAATCATGTGGCTGCATTTTAGATCACACTTCATATAATTTGTGTTAATACAAATAACTTTTCCAAAGTCATGACCAAACCAAGAACAAGCTGTATAGATGTATTTTCATGTCCCAAGTAAATGTTATTCTATCAAAACTGTATAATCTAAAAAGTTGGAATATTAACTTTTAATTATCATTGACATGAAAACACATATTATGAATTGTACAGGATAAATTTCTATTTCTAACAGAGCATCACATTAATTTAAGAGCAGTAGCTGTTATTTTGCATTCTCTATTGCCAATGCATTTTCTGATTTTATTGTGCACTTTGAAACTACTTATTACTTTGTTACAGTACACATACATGTCCAGTAACTATAAAACAACAAAAAAAGACTATTGGAGGATTCAAGTGAAAACAAATGCTTTAAAAACAATATTGTTATAATACAATACTGAACCAATTAATCATACTGATAATATAATCCAAATCTTCTCTTTCACACCATGATATTGTGTTGGCAACAGACAAATATGAGTACTATAATAAGTAAAAGTAGTTTGATCATGGCATTCTATGACTCTTCTAATGTTATCACTATGTGAAGTATAACATCAGTAAAATGGCTGCACTGATAAGTAGCTAATTTTTTAAAGGGAATGATGTAAGCAGAGTTAAAATACATTCTGTGGGGAAATAATATTAGACAGAGGTAAGATCCATGGAAACGTTAAAGACATGTTTGCTGACAGTTAAAACTTAAGTTAGAGGCATTATTCCTTTAAAACATGTTCAAGAAGCTCTAACTTCTAAAGGTTTTGTAAAGGAAATGTATACAGTAATAGTATGTGAATACAGAACGTAAAACTTTAAGGTAATTTTATGCTGCCACCCAGATTCAGTACGTTCTTTAAGCAAAGAAAAAATTGTTTCTCACTCATTCTGAATTTATCAAAAGACATTTGACAATATACCATGATTTTGACACAGGCTTAACTACGATTTCTGTGTACCATGGTACACTCATAGACCACATTTTAGAGAAGGAAGACAAAGCAAACCAAAACATTTATTGTATGGTATATTATGCAGATAATTGCAGCGATATCCACACCCTTTTCGTTTCTTTGAAACGTTTACATATTCATGTCTTAAGTCTGTGCATAAGCATATAGCATCTGTAAGTTTATTTCCAATGTACACGCATGGATGCACACTTTTTTTGCAGATTAGCATTTAAAAGTCTCCCATTGCAATCTAATTCAAACCTGCAGGCAACACATGGCAGTTTGGTCATTATGGAATACTGCCTCTACAATGGTGAAGATGGAAAGTATGGGATAAATACTTATTCCGTAATTAAGGACCACAGCATATAAAAATAAGTGGAAGTCAATCATCAGTTTGAGAAAAGGGCAAAAACACTGTAAACTCAAGGTACATTCCAAATAAATGTACATATGGTATCAAAATTAATGCTTATCAATACTATACAATAAATCACTTTTAAACTGAGAAGTGACTATCTGCTTGTAAACTTTTCTTAAAATATTGCTTGCATCATTCCAGTCTGGTCAGCATTTTTAGCAGAATGCTGCAGTAGTAGCAGAGCAAACAAAAATCATGATCTGGTTAAAACATAAATTTGAAGGACCTACTGTCCTGTCCATTCTTTTACAGGAAAAAGGAAGAATTTAGTAACTCAGATATTACGCAGTAAGCTTAATCAACATGTTAATTTTAAGTAGGAATAATGAATTCCTATTATTGAAAACGCTCAACACTAATAGATAACTCAATATGAAAAATTAGGAGGGATCAAAATGATCAGGAAGAAAAGCTAGAAAATGAGACAGTAGAACAGTCAATTATCAGGTACATCAGAAAGCCATCTTTATTTCTGTGGGGCAGTATCTACGGTGAATTTTATCTTACAAGCCTCTTCTCATTGAAAATCTGGTATGCTTCTTGTAAAGAGCTGCAATAATAATCACAGAAGTTAAGCTAAACAGAAAAATGCTAAATTAAATCAGCAGCTGATATTTGAAACACAACAATAAAATGCCTTTTCCCACCAACAATTCTGTTAAATCTTCCATTGTTGCTGTAACAGTATTTCTTTTGCATGCTGTTCTTGTACACCTGAATTTAACTCCACACAGATCAACAGATGAATGAGTAGACTACAAATATTATTCAATAAATTCAGTAATAATTAAGTATCATGTAGGGAAGAAAAACAGTTATTTTTTTCAACATAAATGGTTATTTTTTTTGTTTTTGTTTTAAAACTAAATTCATTATGCAGCATTTTGTATAATTATAAAAAATTGTATGCATTATAAACAGCTCTGAAGGTTCTATGATATTATATCTTAAGATCTCACCAAATCAGTTGAGGTCAGTGTGCCTAGAAGAGTTGTCAGTAATAATCATATATTTCACAGCCAATTTCTCTTCTGTTATAGAGCAACTTACCAAGGGACATTGCACTGATTTCTATGTATTTAATAAAGACTCACCTGGGAATAAGTCATGTTATTGTTGATTATGTCTTGTCCATATGCTTTAGCACATAAAAAGACTTTTTATTTCACTGAACTGGAATTTCAGTGTCCACACAGTAAAAAAAATCAGCTGTCCTCAGTGGCAGACCCTGATATGTTGGGTATTTAGCATATGCCCCAGCTCTTCACCAGAACATATCTCAAAGTTACCTTTGCACCCAGCAAACTCTTTTCTTTGCTCAGCAGCATTACAAAGACTGGATTTTGGCAATGCTATATACCACATATGTATACAGCTTTTCAAAAGAATGAACCTGTAACAACAAGATAATCATCAATACCAAAGTTTACCTTTGATAATGCTAGCAAGTCCTTTCTGAGCCTTTTTTGATACCATGCCTCTAGATTTCAAAAGTATTTAGTCATTCAGACTATAGGATATTTATCAACTATTAGACACTCTTCAAGTACTATGATGCTAGATTATTTAAAAAAAAAAAAAAAAAAAAAAAAAAAAATGTTTTCTGAAGAGCATGATAAGGAAATTATTCTCAGAGGAATCTACTTTTCAAAAACTCAGAATCTACTTTATGTCTTCACAGAAGACAGTAACACATGGTTCAAAAGCAGCGATATACTGATTATCATAGCTACACATATCTTTTATGTCACGCTTACCAATAGCATTGCCAGTCATGCTTTCATCAGCAATACAGTACAGGATGAGAGAGAGTTTTTAGTTTAGCTTTCAAGATAGAAACTAAAAGTGGAAAGCAGCTTGCCTAACAGAGAAGCATTGCAAAAAGCAGCAGCCAAGTTTAGGTCAGGAAGTTTTTGAAATAAATTACTTTCTGAACCTTCACAACATCCCATAGCATCATACAATTCTGCTTCACTTACAGCCAGGCCACTTTGAGCTTCTAATATCTCTTTCTTTATTTCCATGATAATTATCACAGAGAAGTTAAACAGCTCTTAGATAAACTCTTTTAATGAAACCTGAAATTTCATGATTGGCCAGGATGCAACTAATAGCTGTTAAAATCAAAATTTAAGTGACAGAAGGAGCAAAGAGCAGAATAGACAGAAGCAGTAAGATGGCATTAAGGGAAACCACTATTTTTGCTTTGCATTAATTTCCATTCCTCCCAAACCTGTGAAAATGTTAAATAATGGGAAATACATGTTTTTATTGCTGTTTGTACTATTTGTATGTCACTATGAAGATGAGATGATCTCTGTCTTGTATAGTAACATGATGTTCAAACGTACACAGTCTGTTTCCCGTACAGCTACATAACCTACAAAAATGACCAGGTGGCTAAATATCATTGTAGTTCCACTGGTATAGCTAAGCAGAATTTGGATGTCACTGTTTCTAATGCTTATACAGTAAGGCATAATAACTCCATCAGTTCAAGAAAACCCAGAACATTGTGAATCAAGGCTTAATGATTATATGCTGATTTTGCAAATACTGCAGAAAAGCATGATCCTTAAATTACAGTCCTCTCTGAATTGTAGTGATATTCATATTTACTTTATCCTACTCATTCATGAGCATTGATAAATGAAGATATTTGCAAGGGTGTTCAATGAAGGCAAAAGCATCATAAGTAGCAGTGCAAATATTTGCAAAAGCAGACTTGTTGTTCCACAAATAGTGGAAGGATATTTCTGAAACAGCATGGGACTGCTGTCTATAAAGATTAATTAAGTTAACTACAAGGTGAAACAATATCTCACAATTTACTATCATTCCCTATGACACATAATATGACAGTGGGATGTGATCAATTCAGAAACAAACCAAAGACTTAATTTTTCAGAGTAGGAAAGAATTTTGAATAATGAATATCTGTAAATCAAAGTATGACTAATCATGTAAATTATCATTACAAAAGAGAAGAAAAGAAGAAAAAGCTATTTAATAAGTGCATTTTAACTCTACATTTTTTTTTTATTTTTTTTTTTACCAAACTGAAAGCAACATTATATTGCACCACGGTGTTATAAATGTTAGGATCACATTTAATATGTGAGATACAAATCATACTAAAACTGAAGACCTTTTGGTCCAAACACTGCAACTCACTCACTGGACTGCTGAACTGTATTTGTTACCCATAAGGTAAGAATAACCTCAAGTTTCTCAGGGCAGACAATTTTAGATGTCTGGGGAGGTAGTCTTTTGTAAGCATAAATTAAAGAGCTATGGAAAGACTGAATTGGGTCAGATTTTTGTCATCAGTTTTCTCTTTGCACCTCTACACTTGTAAGTGTAGGTGTAAGTAAGAGCAGAACTGATCTCTGAATGTTTGACCAGCCAAACACCCATTTAGTATAAGCTTTTTTTTTTTTTTTAAAACAAATGATGGTCACATGCTTTGACTGTGGAAATTAAATGATTTCATGCTTAATGGTGCTTCAAGTACTGTATATTAACCTCCAAACTAAATAAATGCTTACATGACTACTGAAAAAAAGCATTTCTAAGGAAACTTGTAAAAAAAATAATGATGGCTATCATGAGCTTGCAAGTTACCAACATTACAATCTAGAATACAATATTATGAAAGTTTTCCAAACCAGTTAACAGCCCTTCATTATCAACACAATTTACAAATGGTCTTATTAAGATTCTTAAGAGAAAGTTGGTGAATTATACACTCTGTCTTCCTATGAAAGGAAAGAAAACCCTTCAAAACTAGAATCCTGAAAATTTTACCAACAAGATTGGCAAAGGTACATAGCATGCACTGCCAAATACAGTTAGAATACAATGAAAAGTATGGCATCTAAACCATAGAAATGTAGGGGCTGCCAATCTCGCCTGACCATGCTGTGATGCAAGTCCTGTGGCTCAGCAGAGAGCAGCTGTGCATGTTTGTACTTTATTGCAATGAATGGGACAGGTTAGCTGAAAAACATGCAGGCCAGTCAATATCCATTAAAAAGTGATTATATAACATATATATGTATAATTTGCGTAGGTAACCTGTGTAAAATTGGTGACACGATGCTCTGCCTCGACTAAAAGTACCAGAGCTGCACTCTTGACTGATCCAGCTTGGTTCTACTCCTGTGAGAAGTAAGAATGGTAGGAAATGAAGTTCAGGACACAGCACCTCTGCGTTTTTTTTTGCGCTGGAAATTCTTATACAATTATATTGGCTGAGTAAAGATCCAATACATTTACTTCTCAGTAGTTCAGAATAATATGAGTATATGTGAGAATACAAGACAGTAAGTATCTTTTAGATTACTGAATGCTGCCTAAAGTAAAATATACACTATTGTGATGGCTGCAACAGAACTAGGAGATATCACATTTTTAAGGCATTTAAAAATACCTTGCAATTCTGCACGCCATAGTTGTGAGCCTGAAAGTTATACTAAGAATAAAAATCTAATTATTATGCAGAATACATGCACTTCAAAATTTTCTACATATACCATCCCCATAGTACTTAAAAAGCTAAAAATGAAAACATATATTTACAGCTTTCATGCTGGAAAGCAGCAGGGCGTCTCAAGTCTACATAGTTTCATGAGCAGGATAACAGTCTCAGCATAATGCCCCATATATGCTAATGAGCCTACTTTTATGATAATGGTTTATTTAGGGTGTGTTCGTTATTGCAATGTATTCAACCAGTAAAGTTCCTATGGACACAATGTTTTCACAATTATTTCTTTTTAGGTTTCAAATACAATCTTCTAGAAAATTCTGGTCAGCTTTTCACAACGTAAATTCATACCTGCTGGCATGTGCAATATTGTATGTATTGTTTCTAGAAGGGTATAAGCAAGTTTTTATTTTCATCAAAATACTAGAAAAGATGTATGTTATAACAATGATTCACCAAACATTAACATGCTTAATTAAAACTTGCTAATAAATTATAATTGTTCTGTAGAAATTCATCTTATTGCCCTACATCACAAGGAATACATGTATTCATGTTTATATACAGACATGCATAAAAGCAAACAGACACTCTCTCATCAGGATCTGGCCAGATGACCTTGCAGCCTTTCGTTTGGTATTCTGCTAACTGAAGGTGGTTTGGTACCAATTTCTATCTTGAGCACCTCTAATTTGCATATGTAAGCAATAAGGTGTCTGCAGATCAACAGTCAGCAACAGCAGATTCACATAAATGGGATCACATGAGAGGGCATGTTAGGGCACATAAAGGCACATCATGGCATGACAAAAAACATGAACTCTTGAACAAAAAGTCATCTGCTGTCACTTTTTAATTAAAAAAAAAAAAAGTCATCTTTTGCTAATTTCATGACCAGAGCTTTAGTTGTGTAATTAATACGCCTCTATTCTTCTCATCACCAAAAAACATAGTTGGTAAGAATCATCTAGTGAAGAGTAGGAATTAGAATTGAGATAAAAAACTGCAGTAAGAGTATTTTATCTACTATTTGATGTTAAAATTTTAAAAACAGAATTTGTAGCAGAGAAAGATTTCTCAAAACAGATGTCAGTGTTTACTGGCACTGCCATAAGTCATGTTCCTTCTTGCTCAGTGAATCACAGATCATTTTCTGTGCAATAGTTGCAGATTCAACATGGAGAGTACTTCCCTACATTTTCAAAAGTAGATTTCAGATTCAGATTTCATCAAAATAATTTAATAATCACTAATGAAAATGTTTAAAGTACTTCTTCCTGTTATTGGAATGACAGAGAGTATTTAATTAGTGCAATTCAACTACATTTCCAAATTACTTTTCACAGAGAAGTAGTCAATTAAAAATTATCAGAGCTATAATTCATTTTGATAATATTTCAGCTACTATGTACATAGCTTCAGAACCTTAAAAAGAACAAGTGCAGGGAAAGCATTACAGCACACCTTAAATCATGGTTTACTAATACGAGGATGTGGGCAGGAGAGCAAAGAAGTGAGGAGAGGGGAGTTTAGACTAATGTTTTCCTGAGTGCAAGCTTCTGATCCTATCAGGACTTAGCAGTTAACATCTCAATACTACACCTGTCAGAAAATTTTCTTTCAGTGCCATCATGCAATAATATCATCTGAAGCGTCACTGTCAGTTACAATATATCTGCAAAATAAACTAACAATATCTTCTTCATACTTTCCAACTGCAATATTTAGAATATTCTATCAATAACGTCTTAGTCTGCCATCACTGTTGAAATGGATTGAAATACTACGCTAACTTTACAAACCACTGCAGAATACAGGCTAATATTTGTTACTCCACTAAGATAGCAATAAATATTTCTTCTTGATGAAGAAATCCAAAGTATTACATTTCCTAGTACTGAAATTTAACTTACGGCCCTTTATTCCCAAACTTTCAGTACATCCTCTGGATATCACTAGTTGTTAAGCAATGAAAAGACTGAAAATCATAGATCTACTTGAAGATGATAAGAAAGACAAAAAAAAAAAAGAACAAACCCAGAAGGTATAGGCCTGTGCCAAGAAACTACATGATTTACAAGAGAGAAAAATAACCTGTGCCATTATTATGACGTGCAAACATAACAGGAAATCTCTCTGTCAGGCAGAATTTAATTACATTAGAAGTGGAATTTGCTGTTCCTTAGTCAGCAGTAAAGTTTGAAATGCTAACAATGGAGAAAGGAATGACAGAACAATATGCTAGCCCTATTTCTCATAAGGTGCCTGAAAAAGATTCTGTTTCTCATCCTAAACAGGATAGAATGGAATCTTTGATACTAGACTGAAGACCAAGAACTTTTTCCATAATCAACCTCTTTATTACACAAAATAACTAAAGGCCAAACTAAAAGAACTGTTCTGTTGTACATGCAATGCATGCTTATGAAAAGTAAGATAGACAGTAATGCAGACAATCTGTAAAAAAATATTTTTCAAAGAACAATAAAGAATAGACTGAAGAGAGACAAAAAAATATGACTAAATGTGTGATGCAGACAGTGCAAGAATCTTGGAGTAAGAACTAATAGAATCTTATCCATATTCATATCCTTGCATTCAAGTGTGAAGAAATCCATTATGAACATCTTTCTGTTTGTTTGTGTCTGTATCACAGCATGCAGTACTGTTCAAAAATGCCCATGCTAATCCTGAATGAACTAGCATTAGTACTGAGCATAGCACAGACTAATTACAGTTGACGTGGTGTGCCTCCACCATACACAATTGCACAGAGCACTGGGTTAAAACAGTAATGAAAGCTTTGACATCCTCTGCTACTCACTAAATGTTAGCTTGGAGTCATCCATTGGGCACCATGTTGTGCCACAGGTGCCTTTTATTATTTTCACAGTAGGTAACAGATGCAAACATGTTAAAGTTTAAAAAAATGACAGTGAGTAGATATATGAAAGGATACTGTACTGAGAAATAAAGCTTTATAACTTTTCAGTGCAAGGACATCACTTCTTCAGCAGTTCAGCTACTATCAGATGGTTATTAGTGATACATATGAAATTATCTAATTATGTCAGTCCAGAGCAGCAATATGATGTATCCAAACGGTTGTGGGTTTTTTTTTTTTTTAATTGTATCAAAAAGGTTAAAAGCATCAGAATAAACTATTAATTTGATAGGAAGCTCTCCAGAAAGCAGGAAGAAGCAAATAACTATGCTGATTAAGTAAATATGGAGAAACTTGCACAACTCTTTCCAACATTTTGTAAGACTTCCGTTATCCAAGGCTATTGAATTGGTCCTTTTTCTTCTTAGTGAATAAATACAATAAATAGGGGGAAAAAGAAAATATTATTGAAAATATATATATCTTAGCTTGATTTTTAAGCTAAGTACAATACTGCACTATCATTCAAAATTTGCAATCTTAACATCAGTTTATCTCAAATACATTTAAAAGTGTTCATACTCTTATGTACAATAATTAAGTATAGTTTTTTATTCAACACTAGTAATTTTAGGAAACTAACATGAATCAGAGAATTTTTAAGATAGAAGTAGTCTTACCTCTTTGCTTTCTTCCAGGTCTGACTCGCTGCTAAACTCCTCTGTATTTAAATTTTCAAAATCAGATTCCCCAACAGCAATTGGTACTGTCACAGTGAGACTTGGGTTGTTTATGAAGGACATGTAATCACTTTCATCAACAACATATTTTTCCACACTGCTGCCTATGCCACTGGTAGTTCCATTTCCTTCTTTAAGGTAGGCAAGGTTTTTTCCTATTTCTACTATCGTGTGGTTGGAAATACAACTGTCTTTTTTGTTGTTTAGGTCTTCAAGAGGTTTGATTTCATCTAAAACTTTCTGCTTTCTAACAAAGGCTTTTTGGATGAATTCACGCACTTTTCTCTTCACAAAATCTATACCCTTCTGAATCCTTGCCACAGCAATCTGGAGATTGTTCATCTCATTATCATCATCTGTAGCTGCAAGGTTGTCTGAACTAAAGGAGCTCAGGAGCAAGGCAAGAAACAGGTTGAGTACCTGAAAGACAGTAAGGATATAATATTTTGAATCCCTTATTTTTAAGTCATGAAATAATTTGACTAAGCGTTATTTGATATGACAATTATTATCTCATAAACAGCACTTCATCCAACCCACATTCTTGCTACTCTTATCTCTGGTATTTTTTTATAACTTGCTGAAAATATTTTTAAATTACATATCTTGATCAATATAGGTGAAAATTTAACCCTCGAATTTCTCCTTTCTACTCCACACTAGAAGACTTGCACGTATGCTCTCTAAAATGCCATAAGGAAAAAGGATATAACATGATGTAGTATGCAAGAGATGCAAGTTATTTCTTCAGCAGTGTTCACAGACAAGGGGAATGTAGGCAGATTCCAGTCTTCTACAGTTCAGAAGACCATAATTTCAGTTTGCCAAATTCAGGATACAACAAAATATACATTTGTCCTGAATACTTGTACCACATCATTTTTGTTTTGTGCCAGAAAACTGCCTACAAGGTAAAGAATCCTTAGATATACCTTGGTCTTAGGAAGCTTTTTCATACTGTCATTACACAATACAAACACAGCAGACGAATTTGGGCTATATGTAATTATGTTAGCATAAGTGAAAACTACACTAAAAACGATAGTTACAAATATTTATCAATTATTTCTGTTCAGTTTTGCTGTATGTTTAGAAGGTATGCCATAGGAGTCTCAAATTAGTCTGGTTAAACTCGGTATTTTGGTATCTCTGTGAAAAAGCTTATTTATAAAATTTAAGACATATTTATAAATTTTTTTGCATGGTATCAAAGAGAGAAGTGATGGTATTACTCAATAAGAAAATACTACAATTAAGAATAACTAGGGCAAGCTGCTTTTTACTCAAAACCAGTATGTCATTTAATGACATACATTAAATATTGAAAATGTTGGTAGGAAATGTTGGGTAGGAAAAATAAAACATAAGTATATACAGAAGGGTTAAAAGCTAGCAAGGCAGAAGTGCTGCAGAAATAGACATATAGAGTGCATCAGGAAAGCAATACCAGTACTGAAACGTCATTTGGGGATATATAATGAGGAATGTTGTATGTAAGACACGGAGTGGAACTATTCCATACTGTTTAACACTTGTGTCTCTAGAATGCTTTTGGGAGTAATTAAAATGCCAGCAGTGAAAGAAATAATTGATGACTTCTAAACTACTTACGAGAAAAAATTGAACAGCCACATTATTTTGATTCAGAAACAAGACTGAAATTGGAAGAAGCCGTCCAGCAATATAAATATTATCATGACCAACTATTTCCCATAACTATTTGAGACTAGGCAGTTTAATTGGCTGCAACAATGGTCTAACATTGCATCTAATAAATGGATTTTTTTAAAGGCCTTTTAATGGACATATCTTACTAAAATAATTCAGCTATGATCTTACTAAAGAGGTTACAAAATCACTAAAGATTTAAAAGAATTAAAAAAAAAAAACAAAAAAACTACCCACTTTTCATAGCTTATCAAGGTATACTTGAACCTGGCTTTCAGAAAGGGCAAATGAATCACTTGATTTCTTGGAGTCTTCATTTCTGATTTCTAAACTACGAAAAGCAGGAAATACATTCTTACATGTTTTAAAAATTCCCACTGATTACATACCACTAAGTTTCCAATCACCATGACCATCATGAAGACAGTAAGGCACATAGTTTGGCCTGCAACCTCCATGCAGTCCCACATCGTTTCTATCCATTCTCCACACAGCACTCGGAATACAATCAAGAAAGAGTGGAAAAAGTCGTGCATGTGCCAGCGTGGAAGTTCGCAGTCGCTAGAGATCTTGCAGACACATTCCTTGTAGCTTTTCCCAAAAAGCTGCATCCCAACCACAGCAAAAATGAACACAATGATGGCCAGCACCAGGGTCAAATTGCCCAGAGCTCCCACTGAGTTGCCAATAATCTTAATCAGCATATTTAGAGTTGGCCAAGATTTTGCCAACTTGAAAACTCGAAGCTGCAAAACAGAAGAGCAGTATACAATTATTCACATCATTAACTGTAATTAATCATTGCTATACATGTCATATTCTAATTATGATGTGTTTAGAGCATGTCTCACGCTATTTCTATAAACTTTAGTTACAAAATTTATCTTACCAGCTCTTTGTATAGTACTAAACACTGGTAAGTCCTGATTCAACACATGAGAAACCAAAAATACTGTCTCTATGTTCATTTCACTTCTGTTAATTCTGTGGAAATATTACTAAAAATAAATCAATGCACGTGAGTTGTGATCAGTTCTACAAGATTATAACTGCTTAGGCATTCCCAGATCTCTTTCTTCTTAATTGTCAGAGAGCTGGAAGAAGTGGTTTTCCTAGAAAGATAAACAAGCTAGAGTTGTTAATGATGGGCTCAGAAGTTCCTTGCCAAGAGTCTCTCACAACTCTTCTGTCATGGAAAATAAACACCACGTGTCAAAGTTTGTCAAACAACATTGAAAAAACAGTGGACAAAATTAAATGTTATATCAAAGTGCAACTTGAAACAGAAAAAAAAAAAGGAATGCAATTGGAAAGAAATAGTATATATTCAGACAATCAAAGGAATGTAAATGTAAATCCTATTTAATAGAATAAGACATAAGTAATAACATAGATTCAAAGCAAAATACATAACTCCATTACTGAGTGAGAAGTCAATCAATATAGATACTGAATTTTAGGAAAATACAACATAATGATTACAGAGAACCAGAAAGGGGATGAATTTAAGCCTCATGCTTTTTAAAGGGAATTTACTTAAAAATTTTCAGGCTTGCTTTATGTAAGGCAGGAAGTGATGACTAGGCACTTTAGTTTCATTTCTCTTACTGTGCATGTCTTTTTAAAAGAGCATTTGAACATTAAATTGTCTGCTAGCCTAGTCTTCAGCAAGACCAAGGCTTTTCAAGTTCCCATTCATGACAGAGCTATTTAATAACTGACAGAGATAATGGAGAAAGATAGAGGCTTTGGAACAGAAAATGTGTTACACAGTAGAGATATCTGGGGAGAAGATGATAAAGAAGAGGGAAGAAAGGTTACCACTGATGAAAAGTCCCCATCCAAGAAAAATCTTAACACTACTTTCTTCTAACCATACAAGCAAACTGGTAATGGAAGTTTATCAGCTAAAACTGTCAACAAACTTTTATTAATTAATCAGTTATTTAGTAAGTGTTTTACTTATCTTCAGCCACAGGTACTGAGGGTCTGTGCCTCTTGCATTCTTTATTCCCTCATCTATATTTTAAAAAAGACTCCAAAAGACTATTTAAAAAGGTAATTCTTAAAGCATGCTCACTGCAAACAGAATTGATTTTTACAATGTATTGAAGAAGAAACAGACATTATTAAAGTAATATATAAAACTTGACATAATAGATACTTGCCATCTAGTGGGTATGCAATTTAGTATTTTGTAAGTTCTTATACAGGGAACTTCTGATTCAGCCAAATATACAATATACTACTGAAAAAATGAAAGACATAACTGCATAAATATAAAAATATAACATAGAAATAGATATTAATTAGAATATTTACCAATCGGAATGATCGAAGGACAGATAATCCTTCTACATTTGCAAGGCCAAGTTCCATTAAACTAAGACTCACAATAAAACCATCAAAAATATTCCAGCCCTCTTGGAAATAATAGTAAGGATCCATGGCAATTATCTTGAGAAACATTTCTGCTGTGAAAATTCCAGTAAACACCTGCAAGGAAAATACAGTTTCTTACTCCATTTTAATAAGAAATTATTATTATTATTTTTAAATGTAACAGCATCAACTTTTTTTAAAGTTATATCCTCAGTAAGCAATCCATGGTGGATCTGAATACTTTCTCTATATTTTCATACATTAGGTTAGGAATTAAATTCAAATTTAAGCTCACATATGCAGTTCCTGTTTACCTCACAAGGAAGAGATAAATAGGATGCTTCCTATCCATGTGTGTGCTAATATGCACACATAAACAGTGATATATTGTATCACTTCTGATTTTAGTACTCCAATTTTCTCCTCAGATCTCATCTTTGCTCTTAGGACAGCTTTTTTCTTCTAGGGATAAAAATAATCTTATAAGAAGGAAAAAAAAAAAGTTAAGAAAAAAGCAACATTGAGCAGAACTATTCTTCTTCAGGATAGCCTGCAAATAGCACTGTCACACATTTTCACCATCTCCTGTTATGTCACAATAAATATTCTGTGCTCACTGGATCTTTCCTCTCTATATCCCCTTGAACATCCAGGACACCAGGAGGAACAAATAAGGTACATAACAGGTGTGGGAAGGTTCCTTCCATTTAGTATTGAAGTATTCATTCAAGAAAAAACATTAGATTAATTTCTATAACTATCTTCCATGAGGGAACCTGAAGGATTTAAAAATGAAAATACATTTTGACTTAATAAATCTTCTGCAAAGGAGAATTAATCTCCACACAACACAAATGGAAAAATACACAAATGTCAACAGAAAGGCATTCAGCATAGCTTAAATATAAATTCAACCATTCCAAGCCTTTTAAATACTTAGTCAGCATTTTCTTTTAAACATATGTACATAGGTAACACGAGTATCATTTAAGAAAAATGTATTTGACATACATGGTACATCACAGAAGACTTACAAGGTTTCCCACTGAAAGGACACCACTAAACTGTTCTGTCATTGGATAGTGCTCCATGGCCATGAACAGTGTGTTTAGAACAATGCAGATAGTAATGGCCAGATCAACAAAGGGGTCCATCACAATCAAATTTACAATATGTTTGACTTTCAGCCAGGGAGTGCAGCAGTCCCAAATCAAGCAAGTGTTAGCAAATTTATACCAGCATGGTGGGCATTTCTGTCTTGATTCCTCAAGTTCTAGAGAGAAAAAGGTAAATAACATTTTAATATATTTCTCATAAAATCTGTCTATTCTATTAGTAAAACTTGGGTATTTCCATTTGGCCTCTGCTATTTCCAAGTTATTTTTGAAACTCTGTATTGATGTAACAGTCAAGGCTAATGTCCAGTCAAAAAAACCCAGCATTTATCAATTACAATAATCTGTCCCACTATATTTTACACAGAGTAGAGAAAGAAAGAATACTAAATATTCACTATATAGAATGACCATTCACAATCAAATGCTTCGCATACGATGTAAAGTAGACATATGTCTTAGGAATCCAGTTATATAGAATAAAATATTTCAAATTTTGCTTCTAAAGGATAAACACTTAAAAAGAACCTAAATTTAGGATTGCTTTTCCAAATATATCAGTCATACAGGAAAAAAAAAAAAGAAAAAAAAAAAAAAAAAGACAATCTCCAGGCACAAATCTCACCTTGTCTGTAACATTAGGCCCACTGAAGCTCCATTAAAAAAAAACACTACTAATTAGTGTATTTTGAATTTACTAGCACTTGCATTACAAAAATTCTATTTCACATACCTTCCATTGTGTTTGTGAGCATGCTGGCTATACTCATTGCTCGCTGCCTTGCACTAGGATCTGTTAGGTAGTCCATAGGAACATGGTAAGAACTAGACCTTCTTTTCCTTAAGTCAGTTTCTGTAGTAGTGCCCTGAAAATAAAACACTGATAAAATAGACTACCAAATGTTCATTTCATAAGAATAACACTGTAAATCATTGTAAAGATATAATGGTTTTAAACACTTTGGTGATCTGCCTGATGCTCCATTTATGTTATGATTTTGCAAGAGAATGATGTGTACCTAACTCACTAAATAGTTAGATATGTCAGTAGGACTGCTCTTTTGCAAAGGTGTTTGTAAGTATTTTGCTGAATTGGGAATGAAACATTAGAAGAGATTCAAGAAGTCTGTGAACTACAAAAAGTTTCATAATGCTTGTCAATGAGCTCAACCATAAATATCTTTCTTATTAGGCAATAAAGTAGTCCACACAGATAGCTATAAAAGCACAAAGAGTAAGTGTATTTTCTTAGGATAACTCATGTTATTTTCTAATGCGTATTTTCAAGCAAAATAAGAGAAAAATATTCATTAACGTTGTCAACACAAAAAAAAAATCACTAAAAAAAATTAACCGTTTCATAGGAATTCTAGCTCATGTAAGTTGTCTCATCATATAGTATTATATCAAAAATATAACATACGGTCAGCAGATTAAATACTCATTTAATATATTCCATTAAGTAATTTCTTTATAACTATTTTTTCATTTTGATATATTGGTTGATATACAAATACAGAACTTCTTCAGTTACCATAGTGAACCAAGTTATTTAATGGCCTACTGCTATCTTGTTAATTCCCAGTGACCTAACATACATTTACACATATCTAATTAATGAGAGCTAGACAGCTTCAGTTTCTGCTTCAACTTTGAACTGGAATATATGAAAGGAGCATGGACAAAGTGGGAATTATTTCCAAGTTACTAGGCTTTGTAGAAACAGTAGTTGATTATACAGGGAGAGGACATCATGCCTGAGCTATTGCAGACTTCCTTACATTGCTAGCAGTGGTTGCTTTATCAATCATCACCTCTGGCAAAAGCTGTCCAGTAGGTGACGTCAGAGCTGGAGGCCCACCGACTAAAGAAACTACTCCATTACAATCCACAGTGCTGTGCATCTTCCCGTTCACTGGAAGAGGAGGTACTGTCCTGGATGACCTACTGGCCTGACTAATGTTACTGTTGCGCCGTTCACCATGTCTATGAGGAACAAAGAGAGAATCTCTTCTGCTCTCATTGTCTTCAAAAGTGCTGTGCTCATCATCAGCAAAGTCATTTTCAGATCCTACATCCTTTGCTCGACCTCTGAAGCTGAAAAGACTTGTTCTGCTGTTGCGCCTTGGGGAAAACAAGGAGCCACGAATGCTCAGCAAAGACTGTAGGCAAATAAAAACAGCGATTATCAGATGAAAATTCTTTTAGACGTAATGACTTCTTACAGGGAAAAACACAGTGTTCATATGTCTTAAAGGGTAAGATAATCTACAAAGAAATGAACTAGTACAACACCCCCTTAACACACTTCCTTTTGGGTATTAAACAAAGAGCACATAAGCGACAGACATAGACCGGTTATTTTACTACATTATTTGTATGATATCGACTGGTTTAATTTGATTAAAAGAAACTGCTCAACAGAATTGCTTCCTCTGCCATTCTGCCTGTTTTATTATCAACTGTTCATAAATTGTATAAGCACATCTAGCTACTATTTATCCCTGGCCGGGACAAGTCTGACACGTTGAATAAAATTTTCTGTAAACTTCCATTGAGTCAGTCTGCACACAGACATAGCTCCCAAATACTGTCCAGTTTACAACAACGTACATATTTTTGCAAGCACTCGTCAAGTAGTTCACTATATGGTTTTCATTTCTTTTTGAAAGTGTTAGCTATCCTGAATATGCAAAGGTGTACATGTAACTTTGCATGAGTATCCTCACTAGTCTTCATCATTTTACTCCTGTGAGTAAATGTTCTGCTACGGGTAGATCTTCTCAGGATCAGTCATAATAAAGTTCTGATCTTGCAATTATGTTATGTGCTCAACTTTAATTCACGTCAGTGATTCTCCTGACTTGAAAGATTTGATTTTATCATCTGACTTCACCCTCTATGAACAGCAGAGCTGGTACATAGCAAAGCGATGTCTTTGTTTCTCTTTCGCAACTTATTTTTATGGATCCAAGCCCATTATTCCAGGCATTGCAAAATGCAGAACAAAAAGGCACTCTGCTATCTAAGTATAACACAACAGATGGATACAAAAAGAGAGGGAATATGAGTAGGCAAAATTGATGAGTATGATAAACAGTGGTCTTAGCTCACCTGAAGTCACTTCCCTGTCAAGCTTTCTGTAGGCAGCATGGTAAAAGAGAGTTTTAAAGAGGAATTTGAGGAAAGTAATGAAGTGTTCCGTGGAAACTCATGGGAACTTCTTCCAAGCATGAGGGGCAGCATACCAGAAAGAGTTCAAAGAAACTCACTTGAAAAATTAACAGGAGGTTATGGATGCTGTAATGGGTCAGTTAAAGTTGGGACTTGATTTGCTTACTGAAAGTCAAAGTAGGTTGGGAAGAGCTTTAAGCACAGTATGTTTTACAGTATTGAAAACGTCTATAGGTCGGTATGTTAACTGGAAGATTAGGTAATAACAATGAGACACCTTTGTGCTCTTTGCAACAATATTCTTGATGAATGCAGCATTAATAGAGACATGGAAATAAGTCTAAGTTAAAAATAGTTTGCAGTTGTGGTCTAGAGCAGAATTGGGGAAAAAAAGGAGACAAAGAAGGAATTTGCAACAGGGCCTTGTGGAAATCCCTTAGGAAACTGTCAAAGCGGTAAAAAGATCTTCTAAAGCACAACTAAACCAGAACTGAGAGGGGACAACAATGTTAGGAAGACTAAGTTTTCAAGAAAACATAATGGTCAGTCACACTGAAGGAAAGTGAAATGTCAAGGAAGATGTTAAAGATACAATATAAACCTGCATTTTGTCTAGGAAAAGGTTATTAAAAACTGTAGTGAGTTGAATTTCTGTTGAGTGTGGTAAATAAAACTCAGAGTGGAAAGGAGCTAGGATTGGAAAACCAGAGAGGAGGGGATCACTAGACTATCATACTATATAGCTGTATATGAATTTTGAAATGAAAAAAGCAAGAGAAGGAAATTAGATGAGGTATGCTCCATTTCTTAACAGATGGATGAACTGAATTGCAGCTGAATAAGGCTGCAGTTTGAATGAAGGCATGAGTAAGAATATGCACCTAAGGGATCAGATGAGACTCCAACATGAAGTAGAAATCAATAGATATAAATGTGACATTTTGTATGTGGAACAGAATGAATCATGAATCAAATTCAGCAATGAAATCTTGACAGTAGTTAGTCAGACAATTAACAGCATAAAACAGTGGCAGACCAAGGAAAAAAAAAAGGTGGAGGCATTGCTATAAAAAGTATGTTAGGAAGGAAGAGGAAGGACAGTTAACTTGGTAGAAATGACAGTCTAGAAACATTACACTCCCACCATAGTCTGATCAAAAGAGGAAAGTCCTTAATAAGAGTATAACAGATGAAGAGGTTTGAGCTTCTCTGAGAGTGGGAGCTGGAGAAAATGATACATGCAAAGGACATGAATGCATGTGACTTCTTAAAGAGATGAAATAGGCTTTCCAGAGATAGGAATAGAAGAGGATAAAAAAATGAAGGAAGGAATTTAGTAATAGTGGCTAAAAAGGATAGCAATTCATAAAGATCAGGGAGAATCAAGAAGGTGGGGATAAAAGGAAGAGTAGAGGCATAAGTTACACAAAGGGGAAGAGAAAGGTCAGAACGGATGGAATAATGAGATCTGAGTTGCTGAGAAGACAGTCTGAGGCAGGCAAATGAAGAGAAGCTCCTGAAAAGTTTAGAAAGTATGACATGATAAAGCTATCAAATGAAATAAATATATGGATGGGAGATGCAGATGGTACTCTTCTTGTGTCACTGGTGTACAAATGTAGGAGAACAAATGCGAGGACACAGTGCCACATATATTTCCACCTTTAAGATTACACAATTAAAGGTCTCAATTAACTTGCCATATTTCAGGTAAACGTTTATGTTAATTCCAAAGCCTTTACACCCTAAAAGTAGCACAAGTCCAACTGAAAACATGAAATTCCTTTTTTGAAGCCACTGTTCATGCTATCTTGATGAGCTCATTTTCATTAACAAAATTAGCAAATACAACTCATTCTAATTAATACATCTTATTTTGATTTTTCACAGATAAATTCAAGAAAATCTCTCTAATTCACACAGTTTCATCTTTGACTGCGTGTATTAACCTGGTCAGATTTTTAAGATTAAATGAATCACCTTGCAAGAACTGACCAAACTACACTATAGGCATTTGTTTCTATGATGACTAGACATTTAATAATACTATGGTACCTGGTGTGGGGAAGAGAATCTCTTTTCATATGTCAGTCTATTCCCCTCAATGGAAAATCGGAAGCCTTTTCTTTTGATGCTGTCCTCCGATTCGGATTTCCGAAATTCTTCCTCATCCTTCTCACCTTCAGCTTGTTCTTTTTGCTTTTTTTTCTTTCTTCTATTCCTTCTCTCTTTAGCACTCTTCGAGCTCAGTTTGGATGCCTCAGAAGAACTTTCAGAGAATCCACCTATTCCACCTACTCCGCTATAATCTCTTGAGTCAGCTGCTGCAGCTGCTGCTGCTGCCTGTACGGACAAATAAGCACATATGCAATTTACAACATTTATATAAGTACATACTCACTATTTGATTGCTATTTATTGATATTCCTAAAAAAAAAAAAAAAAATGAATTTTAAGTAAAAGCACTGATCCCATTTCACTGAAACTAGTTTATCAGGAACTATAATTTTCCCCTATCTCTGTTTTCAAAATCACAGAATGGCTGAGGTTGGAAAGGACTTCTTGAGGTCATCTTGTCAAACTCTGCAGCACAGATAGAGTCACCTGAAGCAGGCTACCCAGGACCATGTACAGACAGCTTTTGTTTATCTTCAAGTTATCTCCAAGTAAGCAGATTCCACAATATCTCCAGGCAACTTGCTGTTCAATCATTTGTTCATTCTCATACTAAATGAAACAATTTCTATCTCCAATTTGAAATTTTACCTTAATGGTTCTTTTTCGTCACTAGTTATCATAGAATGATAGAATCATAGAATCCTTAAGAGTTGGAAGGCACTTCTGAAGGCCATCTAGTCCAACTTCTCTGCAGTGAACAGGGACACCACAGCTCCATCAGCTACCCAAGGCCTTATCCAGCCCCCAGGGCAACCTGTTCCATTGCCTCACCACCCTCACTGTAAAAGATTTTTTCCTTATATCTAACCTGTATCTACCCTCTTTGAGCTTGAAACCATTTCCCCTTGTCATGTCACCACAGACGCAGCTGAAGAGTCTATCCCCTTCTTTCCTGTAGCTCCTCCAGTATCCTTAGATACTGAAAGGCTTCTATCAGGTCATCTCAGAGCCTTCTCCAGGCTAATGAGCCCCAGCTCTTAGCTTGTCTTCATAGGAGAGGTATTCCATTCTGTGGAACATTTTTGTAGCCCTTCTCTGGATGTGCTCCAACAGGCTAACACCTCTCCTGTACTAAGGACTCCATATTTGGACACAGTACTCCAGGTGAGGTCTCACCAGCACGGAGTAGAAGAGCGGGATCACTTCTCTTGCCCTGGTGGCTATGCTTCTTTTGATGCAGCCTAGGATACAGTTGGCTTTCTGGGCTGAGAGGGTACATTGCTGGCTCATGTCTGGCTTCCCATCCATCAGTGCCCCCAGGTCTTTTTCAGCAGAGGTGCACTCAGTCCTTTCATCCCCAAGCTTCTACTGGTACTGGGGGTTGCCTCAACCCAGGTGCAGGATCTTGCATTTGAATTTGTTGACTCTCATGAGACACACCTGGGCCCACTGCTCAAGCTTGTATAGGCCCCTCAGGATAGCATCCCATCCCTCTTGTGTGTCATCTGCATCCCACAGCTTGGTGATGTCTGAGGGCTGCGTGGAGAACAGTTATCAGAAAAGACCAAGGCATAAAAGTTGTGAAGTACCTCAGCCTTCTCCTTGTCTGTTGTTACCAGATTGCCTGTATCACTCACTAGGGGCATATGCCCTCCAGACCTTTCCTTTTCTGGTTGAGGTACCTATAGAAGCCTTTCTTGTTCTATCTGGCATCCTTTGCCAAGTTCAGTCCAAGCTGGGCCTTGGCATTCCTCACACCATTTTTACACAACCTCACAGCTTCCTTAATTCTTCCCAACAGTACTTGTCCCTTTTTCCATTGCCTGTGCATTTTCTTCTTGCTCTTCAGATTGACCAGCAGGACCCAGTTCAGCCATGCCAGTCTCTTCCCTTCTTTCTTGACTTGCTCCACCTGTGGATGGAGAGCTCTTGTACCCTGAGGAAAGCCTCCTTGAAGATTTGTGAGCTCTGCTTCGCCCCTTTCCCATGACAACAATGATGTTTTTCCCAAAATGTTTTGTTGACTAATGCCCTGAAGAGCTGGAATTTTGCTTTTCTGAAGTTTAGCTTTCCAATTTTATTTTTTGCCTGTTTCATGTCACTCCAGAGCAGGAACTCAACTACAGCATGGTCACTACAGCCCAGGAGTTCAAGTTTACTCAAGACCACAGAAGAAGTGCTACCTAAAATTTTAAAAATCTTTTGGAAAATGAAAGAATATATAAGATAGGTGGTAATATTTGGGAGTGGGTGACTGAAACTATTCCCATATGTGAACATCCAATTGCAATCATGAGTGGAAAAGGCAGTTTTACTTTAAAAGGATACCTGAGCTTCTTCCTGTTGCTTTTTCAGTTGTTCCAGCATTTGCTGAAATTCTGCTTCTTTCTGTTCTGCTTCTTCCATGGTTGCTTGATTTTGTTCTTCATAGGCCATGGCAACCACAGCCAGGATCAAATTAATCAGGTAGAAAGAGCCCAGGAAAATGACCAAAACAAAAAATATCATGTATGTTTTCCCAGCAGCACGTAGTGTCTGGGAAAAAAGAGATAATAAAGATTTTAGAAGACTTTTACACACAGTTACATAATCTGGTAGCATCTATTGTATAGATAGAAATACATTGTAAAATTTCTGTTTTATCACAAGAAGATTATGCTAATTTTTCCACATACAATTAGTTAATATTACATCGTAGCTATATGTGCAAAAATCCAAGTTTTGTGTCTGCCATGGCACAGCTGACTATGATTCAGTAATTTAAATAGTTCAGAACTTCTACTAATGAAAATCTCTTATAGGAGTTGCTGCCTCCATTATAACTTTTTATTATAGCCTTTAAACCATTAAACTACTTTAATAGTAATGGGGCTGCTAGTCAGTATCTTACCTTCTTGTCTTATCAGACCCAAACTACAGTGCCACAAAAACAATGCAGCATACAATATGACATCCTGCACAACATCACACTCCTTTGGGTTAAGGATGTATGTATTTCAGGGACAAGACGTCAGAGACAACATATTTCTACTAGACTGCAAATCAATTTAGCTAGCATCTATCTGCAACATGTTTGGGCAAGAAGCATTAACAAGTTCATTTACTCATTTGTGAAAAGGAAACAGTAATTCTTAACAATTATTTCTTATTATGTATTGAGAAGCACACAGAAATCTAAGGCCCCTATTGTTTTAGATAACTTACATATATGAAATAAAAGATGATTTGTGTCCCAAATATCTCAGGTACATGTGAATGAAAAGAACTATGCAAATACTATGTAGTAATGGTATTGGTGATGGTGCTGTTTATTTTAATAAGTCCTCACCAGCTGGTAAAGATTCTCCCAAAAGTCCTGAGTCATCAATCGAAACAGTGACAAGAATGCCCAACTGAATGTATCAAAACTTGTGTAGCCATAGTTGGGGTTTCTACCAGCTTTCACACATATATATCCTTCTGGACATTGACTACAAAAGAAGAGGAAATGCTATTTTTAACAACTACTCTAGATTACGATATACTGTAAAAATCACAAAATTGATCAGGAGTACTAGCTGCAAAATTTTGAACAAGTAAAACTTTATTCTACATACCTAAGATAAAAAATCCTAGTGGTTTTCAATTTTTAATTCCATTTCCTAATAATATTTCACTGTTATAATAATATAGCTAATAGTAATCTATCCTTCCCCGCAATTTTTCTTATCAACACATCTCCATCAGCACAAGAGAAGATTGCCATCTAGCACAGCTAATAGTAAATTGTCAGCTGGCTGGCAGTAACTTTTATGCACACAGTATTCATGAGATTACCTTACAAAATTAGTCTAAGGTGCTGAAGAAATTGCCTGTGTAAACTCAAATCACGTAGATGGTTACATTTAGGTATAGTTTCATATCCTACAATGTTGGTAATTTGGAACTCTATGGTACAGCTGATAATTTAGTTAGCCACCTGAGCAATTCTAAGTAGCTTTCTTTCTTCACACACTATGAAAAATGATTTTCTTACCCTGCATCTGAGCTATTGCCACACAGCAGAGCATCATTTTGTCCTTCCAAGAAGTAGAAATGATCTGTTTTTTTAAAAAAAGGAAAAAGATTATGAAAAAGACCTAAGGAATTTGAGCTATGATTAAAACTTTTACACTTTAAAGAAATAAGCAGAGCTAACAGTTTAATTGTGATATATGATGATCATAAAAGAAAAAAAAAAAAAGAAGAAAAAAAAAGAGAAGTACTGATTTGACAGGAAAATGATGTTTTGTAGAGTCTTAAAGTTGGTCCTTCTTTAGAGAATAGAAAGGCAGTTGTATATGTAATTCTCAGTAACCTATACAAATGAATAAGATACAGCTATTGGGTTAATAAATTGTAAATGTCAGCAAATGAATAAACAAATACCAGGAAAGCAAGAAAAACAATGAAGTCAATATCCTGACTTTGTTCATGTAATTTTTTTTATATATATATATATAACTTAGAGTTACTTCTTATAATTATTAATTACATACTTGAATATTACTTGAAAAATCATGCAAGTGTTTGCAGCGTGAAAGCACTGCACATAACAACATGCACAATAAATTGTTAACTAGATCTTGACTTGAGATCAAGACAGTGGAGGAGAAATCAAGCTTTCATTGTACATGAAAAATAATTAATGTAATCCTGTTACAGAAGACTGTACTTGAAAAATCTACATTCTGTTAAACTAACAGAATTACTGAACAGAACACTGCTAACTATTATAACAGGGTTCAAAATTAATTCAGTGAGATGGAAGACTAAAAAATCCTTGGAACATCCTTTCTTTCTCTCTCTCCTCCTTCTCCTGCTGTTCTGCTTTCCAACCCTCTCCCACCCTTTCTCTTTTCTGCTGTGATGTAAAAAGGAAAAATCAGTTTGTCATCAATTGCTTGTTCGAGATTTGTAAGGCAAAAAAAATGGGAATCTCTAGTGGAAATTTTGGGTCGGGTGACATATGAAACTGAAGTTGCCAAAATTAGGCATGCTCTGGCTGTTCCCCGGAAAGCAGATGGTTCCTTGAGATTCACCGCCAGCTGGCATGGATTAGGTTAGCTGGCATGAACTATCCCAGGGCTAACACTAAAGAGACAAGCAAGGAATTGCAACCAGTTCATAAGGACTTTTTCTACTCTACACTACCAGTATATGATGGAGATAGCAAAAAATGTGCCTATTTTAAAGAGAGAGAATGTGCACATCACTTCTACATCTGCAGTCTATTCCCTGACATCAGTTAAGAGACAATAGGTTTGCAGGCATTTAGGTGCTCATATAGTTACTCCCTGTGAGAGATTTACTTGCACTCATCATGAGTGTAAAAATGCAGACAGGCACCAAGATGGATTTTAAAAATTATGTGCGTGTGTAATTCACATTCCTATGTGCCACAGCTCATAAGCAAAGGATCCAGATAAACTATTAAATCAGCTCAGCTCAACTGTCAGCCCAGTATTTTAGAAAAAATATATACATGTTTATACATATATATCAATTTTTAAATAACAAGATGATGATAAAGTAATAGTCAATACAAATTTATCAAATATATGGCATACATAAAACCATTCCTCTCTTCTCCTTTGCCAACTTACTAACAGGATAATAGCTCCAGAGACAAGTTACACATGACACCTGAAGCAAATAAAGATCCTTTTTTAAAGATCCTTAAAGAATCTGTTTTATAGCAAATTTCATTAACAACTCAAGACATGAAATAATACAAAAAAAATACATCAAGTATTCTGGAGATAGCAAGCTAGGAGAGGTGATCAAAATTTAGAATGACCTTTACAACTGACAAGCTGGTCTGAAAGCACTTGGATTTATGTCAACAGAGAGGAAAGGAAAGCAGAGGAAAAGAAAGGAGGGGAAAGGTTCTTTTCCAGAGATTTTTAAGGATGGGTTATCATCCAAAATCTTTTTCAAGCCTGGATTTCTAAGATACTACTAGCATGCTGAGATGATAAGTATATTAAAAGATTATAAGGTAGTTTATGATGCTTTAATCCAAAAGCATTTAGGTGTTAAACTGAGGCTTCCTAATTTTCAGGGATACAAGCATCAGATTCAATATTCATATTCTTCAAAGCTTTAGGATTTTCTCCAAATATCATAATCAGTAGAAGGTTAAATATATATATATATACAGAGGTATCCAGTACAATATTATGTTAAACTACAGTATGGTGGTTGCTTTATTTAATACGCAAGGTGTGTTTTTTTAATGAATCTGAGCTGCTAAAACTACGAGTGCTTTTATGCCTTTTGGGTAGGTTACACCATTTTAAATGAAAATATATTCATATGTTTTTGTCTGTCACAAAATCTGTAACAAAATTTTTTCAGAAAAAAAACCAATGAAGTAGTTGATATAATGGATTCTTACTTTTATCTTCTATGTATTCATCCCAGTTAAATATTGTCATTGTTGTATTAATAAATGTACCATTTTCACCTAAAGAGCTATTAAAGTAGGTAATAACAGTTGTTTCAAAAGTAGAATTGTCTGGAGGCCACTGCAGACATTTATTCCTCAAGTTGCCCATGAACAGCTGCAGCCCTATTAGTGCAAATACACTCAGACAAAATACAGTCAGGATCATAACATCCGAGAGCTTCTTCACAGACTGAATTAGGGCTCCCACAATAGTCTTCAAGCCTGCAAAGAGGAAGGATCTTTATTATGATACTAAGCAGATACTAAACACATACAAACTCATGTGAATTTTTCTGATAAAGATTTCATGCAAAATGATAACTAAATGAGTCTAATGTTTGTGATACAACAGTATCTGTTAAAATATTGATTACTTGTGAAGATGAATGAAAAGCTGTAAGTTTATGCTTGTTTTAGAGTGTACAGAAATAAAAGTAGATCTTACCAAACATATTCTTTATGCCAAAACAAGTGATTTTATTATTCATGCTATACCTCCACCCTACATAGGAAAGTTTGCTTTTGCTGATGCTTCTTGCCCAAACCTTTCTTACATGAACCATTTAAAATTGTTCTGCATTTATAAACCTGTTATAAAGTTGTAATGAATTCATATTTTAAAGATAACCTCTGATGATATGAGAGGGCTGATGGTTTGGAGAAGAAAGACATCTTTAAAATAATTCCCCATGCAAGGCCCATGCTATCCTTTAGAATTTAATTTTTTATACACGACATTTGAAACTCAGTTAAAGTTGTATATCGAGTGCCTGCAATAAATGAGAAAATTTGCATCAATATGAAAGCTTAAAATTAACTTACAGTTAAAACATATAAAGAAAAGCTTGATGTCATAAGATGCAAATCACATAGGCTGTTTACTGCAAATATCTCATGCAAGTGTTTGTTAAACTCAAAGGCTGACTTTTAAAAAGAAAATGCAGCTAATTAAAAAAAGCAAAAATCAATTCAAATGAAGTCTTGATTCCTGCTTTTTTATTTTATTAAAAATGTGTAGCAAACAAGGCTTATGCTTCAAAAATGTGAGTATAGCCTCTGTGGAACAACAGTCAGCCTCAGTGTTTAACCTAGCTCTCACCTGGAATGACTGATATTGTTTTCAAAGCTCGGAGAACTCTGAATGTTCTCAACGCTGAGACATTGCCCAGGTCCACAAACTCTGTCACATATCTGTAATAGGGGAGTTCACACACAAACACAATGACAGCACACAAGTAACAGTTGGAGAAACGAGGGGCCTAACACCTTACACCAACTACGTCTTACCTGGGATTACAGAAATAGTTTTCAAAGCTCTCAATACTCTGAAAGTTCGAAGAGCTGAAACATTGCCTAGGTTTACAAATTCTGTTACATACCTGTAGGATTAAATCACAGTTACTCAGAATTGAGGCAGATTTTATCCTTATTGCTTGGGTCTTTGATAAAGACCTTTTCACCGTTCACTGTATTTTGCCTGTGTTATAAATGTCCTTCTGATTGTAAAATTAAATTAATTTATCAAAATAAGCCACACTGACTTGTTTTTGAAACCTAATTTTGTCAGCTTCTAGTAGAAAGTCAAAATGATTCCTTTAATTCTGATATGCAGAAAGAAGACAGGATATGAACAGTTCAGGCTGATGGCATTCACAATCCTAACGGGCTGACACACCACGTTGGCCTCTGCAGCAAATGCTCAGTAAGAAATACTAAAATGTGTAAAAGAGGTAGAAGAAACATATTGAAACTGCAGGAAGTCCAGGCTCCAAATGTTCTGGTTGAAAAAATATCAGGCAATTTTTAGTCACTAAGTTCATCCTGTCTGAAAGATTTAAAAAAAACCAACAAAAAAACCAACAAAAAACAAACCAAAATAAACAGAAGACTTACGCAAATGTAATGACAGTGAAATCTAGCCAGTTCCACGGGTCTCGAAGAAATGTAAAATCTTCTAAGCAGAAGCCCCTTGCAAGAATTTTAATAAGTGATTCAAAGGTATAAATTCCGGTAAATGTGTATCTGAAAATACGCAAGATAGAGTTTATAGAAACATACTCATGTATTCCCTATTCAGTATGCTCTTTAGTCCCATTTTCTACTCTTTGAGAAGCATAAGAATTTAATAGATAAAACCAGCTTTAAACATCCGTAGAATTTCTTCCTTAAAGAAGAAGAATCAAACTTTGATTAAAAGACTACATAACAATCCATAAATTGAGTTTCAAATGCTATAACCTATGCTAATGAGTCAGTTGCAAAATTCCTTGTACTTCATTGTTACATATTTATGTCCAACTAATTCTACGTTACAAGAAAAAAACTTATAAAGTCATGATTTCAGAAGTTGATTCCAGTCTTAATATTAATTTCTTCAGTATTATTTTTATGCTGAAATGTTATAGAGTACCATGATCTGGCAATGTGTCAAATCACATCAGCCCTCATTCACTTTGTTAGAGTAGCTGTAGCCAGTAGTTCACCCTTAGCTAGACAAGCATAGTACTGGAACAAAATCAATGTTTTCAGATGCAAAATCCTGTGCAAGACCAATCAAAACTTTTTACAGATTCCAATGAAATTTAGTGCTTTTTTTGACTAAATAAAGTTTGCTGAAATACAAAAAGTATAAATGCTTAATTTTGGCATTCTGAGTCATTTCAATTTTCTATCTCCAAATGACACCTTTTTGAAATTTAGTTTCATTTATATTTTTAATGGAAAAGAAGGTAAAACAGACTGTTTCAAGTTAAACTGCTTAAAAGGCTCACACTGGTTTTCAGACACAATTAACCTGAAAACAATTTTCCTGTATATTTTTCAGTTCAGTCACTAAGAAAAAGCAAAAAACTTTTTCCCACACAAAAGGGCACAATATGACATGAATAAATATTCGAGCCAGCTATATTTATTCGTGAATACTATATGCTAGATATCCTGAATGCACATATGTTCATACGTAATTCAAAATGAGAATGCCTACACTGACTTTAATTGTCCTATGATTTCGTTGTTGATTACTGAAGATTACACATGTACTTATCATCCAAATCAGATTGAAGTTGCATCAGAAGCATAAGATGTTACTACATGAAGTATCATAAGAAGCATTATTTTGCACTGCCTGGAACAATCACAAAATATGCATTTTGTGTATACTGATGACTGGGGTTGATGTCAGATTGGAACTTTTCTCTTTCTAGCTGCTATTTCCCATGGGAGGACTAGCCAGTCAGTGAAACACTTTTGAAAAAGCTTATTTTTCATTAAAAAAGAAAACATTCAATAACAGATTGTCTTTACTGCACCCTTCATCTATGCCAGTTCCTGCAATGCATCCACCCTTTTTACATACTTGTAAGACTAGAGTCCTGCTCCTACACTACCCACCTAAGACTGCAGAGAATGCAAATTGAACTTTCCTTGATGAAGGAAGCATTGTAAAATATATTGATTCAATATTACACAGAAGAAGTTAGCATTTGAATGGCTGTTCAAAACATGTTACAAAGTAGCTGCTGTCAGTAGATGTTATCCTTATTAGTGTAACATCATTAACAGCAGTTTATTTCAGATGACTGAATATAATTCAAAGAAAATCCATTTCACTTACTCTACATTCTTTGTCCAGTCAGGAGGGTTACTCATGGTCATAAATACACAGTTGGTCAAAATAGTGCACATGATAAGCATGCTGAATAATGTGGGTTAAGAGTTAAGGAATGTAAGCCAGAAAATCTCATTAAAAGAACATCAAACAAGATCCATTCTGGTCTGGCAGATATCCAGTATCAGGAGATATTTATCCCTCCACTGCAATGCTGACACTCAGAGAAAAGCACTGAGCATAGTGCTTTCATAGTCACTTCTTTAAAGCTATGACAATCACACACTAAAAATTAGAAAAACTGAAGTATATAGAAAATACAGAAAAAAAAATAACAATACCATGGATGTTTTTTCTCTTTTTAAATAATAATGTGAATGTTGAATGTAGTGGCCTCTAATTTAGTGGAATAACAACAAAAAAGTGTTTTTACTGGATTATCTAGACAAATACCATCTAGTTCTTGCATATAAAACAATGAAAGGTACATTTTCTTCATTTCTTTCCTTTAATTTTCACCATAAAATTTGGCACATATCAAAAATTTGTTATAATATATACATATATAGAAAACTAGTTGGCACATTTTAATAGAGAGAATAGATAAATTTGTGAGAAAATTATTTTATCTGCACTTGCTTTTTGTAGCTACATTTTTTGTAATATAAAAAGTGGTAGCAAACAAGTCACATTTTATTCTAAAAAACAAAAAACCCTAAAGAAAATCTTAGAACAATTCCATGCTATAAACACTTTCACTTATTTTGACAGAACTGCTCTGTAGTTACAAACCTTCAATTTCAGGGCTAATACATTACAGATGAAAACAGGAACACAAAAATGAAAACCAATCACACAGATGAAGCATACAATGTCCACATGATGGCACCATCACCAAAAATTAGAAAGATAGCAAAGCCTGTTTTTAGAAAAGCTTTAATTTCTCTAACTAAAATGCAGGTTTCCATCCTGCTACCATCTAGAAATCTGAGTATTATGGTGTGGTAAGTACTGTGATGTTCCCCTCACGTTTCCTCTGTATGTCTACATTAACCAAAAATAAAGCAAAAACTTCAAGCAACAGTAAATACCTCTGACTTCTGAACTGTTAAATTATGGCATTACAGCCAGTAGATCTCTGGATCTTTCACATCTGTGAAAGTATCTTAAATCTTTTAATCAGAAGGTAGCCTCTTGCTACACAATTCATATTGAAAAGAGCACAAGAGAAAAGACATTATTTTAAAACATAGCACATAATGTACTTACAAGTCTATGTTTACATCAGCTTTCAAAGTCCTTTATGATGAAATATCCTCTCAAAATCCTCACTACTCTTTCATCAGTGAGAAATAACTGGACTATACCTTCCCAAAATATTAAAGTTTTTTAGTATTTTGACTTTGGTCACTCCAACTATTCACCACCATCTCAGTTCTACAATCCTCCATTACTCCATCTAATTGCTTGTTACAAGCTATGGAGTGTCACATAACTGTCAAATAATTATTTGTAGTGACACCACTAGCAAGTGAATACCGACTACATAGTGTTGCCTTTTGAATGACCTGAAGTCATCTGCAGGCTAGCCACTAATAACGTTATCCAGCATTTATTAGACAATCACATTTATCAAACTTCTACACCAGAAGTATAATAGAATCCTTCCAAGGGTTATTCTACGGCATCCTAGGACCCCTCTATGTAATGCCACCAAGAAAATAAAAAACCCCACAACCAAAAAAAGCACTCAAAAACAAACTGATTTCAATGTGTTTATGTTAGACTCTTGTGAAATATCAGGGTGCAAACATTTGTATATGCTTCCTAAGTAATCAGATTTACTGAAGTCAAAGCCATCAAGGACCCTCTATCAGTATCTGGGATCAGACCACAATAATGATAACTTAAAGATCTCCAGCACCAAATTTAGATTTTTATCACAGTGGAACTGGGAAATCCCAACAACTGTGAGGATGCCTATTTTATTCATATATCAAAACACTGAGAAAGACAAAGTGATAGGTTTGTCATTATGACTACTTAGCTTTATAAATTTCTACCAATATTGTGGAAAATCCAACCTACATAGACAGAAGTAAAAGTTTATTAGGTTACAAGTGCACAAAGCAATAACAATGAAGGAATAGACAGCTACATAGGGCTGAGAATGCAAATAAGAGACCTAAGCTGTTCTATCAAACTAGCTTTGGATCTGAATCAAAAAATGAAAAGGAATAACAAAACAAGATTTTCACTAAAAATTCAAGTAAGTACATAGCTGGGATCAAAGATTTCATTTTAACATACGGTGTTGGTGATGAACTGAAAGTATTTAGAGGAATATACCTGCAGTTTGTGAAAACTGTGGTGGAAGTTAAAAGATGAAAAAAAGCTTGAGGATTGCATGGAAAATGAGAGGAAAGGAAGAAAAAAAAGGAGGTGGAAGAAGAAGGACAGAGGAAGAAATTGTAAACAAAGATGACTGGTTGTCCCCTGATGTTGCTGTATTATGATCCAGCAATTACAAACAAAAAGCGGGAAAAGACAAAGAAGAGAGAAACAATAGAAAGAAGAGAGACAAAGCACTACAGATCATATCAACCATGCACACGTGCCAGTGAATGATTTAAGTACTAAGCAACATCTCATTGACTACAGTTTTAGACTGACCACTTGAAAAGGATATGAATGTACCAAAATCTTAATAGCTATTTTTCTAAGAGGATTGAAAGGAGTTAACATGTACAGGGCAGAGGTGGCACTGAATCGGAATATTGCCTTCCCTTTATTCAATACTATGAAGGTCTGGAAAAAGAAACACAGAATTAAAAATTACATTTAAAAGACACCAACAAGTTACAGTGTACAAGGTCAAACTTTGAATCATTTCCATTCCATCATTAATCATATATGGCCAAACTCTTCTATTTGCACTTCCCACTTTGCCAATCTCAGAATCAGAATCCCCTTGTCTAGTTCACATACGGCAGATTCTAGACAATTTACTATCAATAGAACTGCATTAAAATGTTTTAAGAATGTATTTAGAAATCATAAGCAATCCTGATATTGCTAGCTAGAAAATAAAGACAGGTACATTGAGGCACTAAAATACATTCTATAGCTTATGATATATCTACCAGTGCATGTAATATTAAAAAAAAAAAAAAAAAAAAAAAAAAAAAAAAGACTCATGAAACCATCAGTATTTCCTTAATCAAATAACCAGAATTAATTATCATACCATAGAAGCACTAAGACAATAGTACCATGGAGTGATGTGGTTTTCAAGAGTGAAATAGTGTAAAGGAAATTGCAAGTGTTCAATAACCAGTTTTTGGTCATAACATAAATACGTGGATAGTTTTCACTGTAATTCAAGAAATAATAAACATATTGCTTCTCCCTGTAACTATTTCATGTGAGAGTTTCATACCTGCAACTCTGTCTACTTTTCTTACACCACACTTTACTTTTACCTAATACAGAATTCAATAATCTACGTATTTTCACTATCTCTCCATGGTTTAGCAACGATTTGTGTATACTGCCAGCATTATATATGCATATATATGTAAAATATTTATTTATATATATACATATATAAATTTATTATTATAATTTATTATAATATTAATATAATATATATTAATATAATAATATATAATAATTAAATTTATTTATATATATACATATATAAATGCATATATATATATATATATATATATATATAAATGTAACAGTATTCTTAAAACCTGAGAAAGAAATATAAAGAGTTTATTTAACATGCAGTGCTTTTAAAAATTATTTAGATATCTACACATTTGGGTAAATTCCTATCTATTTCTATTTTCTTTCCAAACATGGGTGAAAATTCACTCTTGCTGAAGATATGAGGATCTACCTACCATTGTGACAGCTGTAAAAAGCCTGAAGGGACATAACCCATAAAAAAAGCTGGAGCACTGCCAGGAGCTATCACCTATCTCAGCTGGAATCAGAGGGCAGTGTTTTCAAAGACTCTACTTTCTGAGAAGGTGTGCCAAATGCAGCAGATGAAATCCAGGAAACACAAGTCCTCCCCGTGCTTGGAATCATAAACTTTAGCTCTTCCAAATGAAACATATGTTCAGATACACAGACACATGTTGATTCTCAGACCATACTTAGGTTCTCAACTGTAAAGAAGAATTCATCTCTAAAGTGGAATCTTTTCTACCACTGTTTTTCAACTCTCTTAATATTCTCCCTTGAGTTTAGAAACTCTGTTCAAAAATCAGTTTTTCATGTCTTCAGTTTCCTTTGCTCTGACATAACATTTGATGATACATCATTTGAGCAATGCTGGCTTATCAAGACAAATCGAAAAATTAAAATGCAATCTGACCTAAATACACAAGTAGGAATGTTCAAAAATATACAAAGAGCACCAAGAAAAATACCAGAAGAAATTATGATTGCAAAACATGTAATTTGGGGTCTCATGTCTTGAGCTAGAAACCTAGAAACTATGCTTTTGCAAAAGAACAAGACAACTGCTATATGTGTCTAATTCAGGGGCAAGAAATTCAGGACTGTACTTCATTTGCACCAAGAATTCCAGAAGTACTTTTCTGGTTTCCAAATCATGATAATGATAACTTAAAGATCTCCAGCACCAAATTTAGATTTTTACTACTGTGGAACTGGGAAAGGAGGAAGGAAAGGAATCAACATTTGGACCTAAATTTCTTCTGCCTTACTTCTGGTCTTCCACAGGATTACACACTCGAGTAAACTAGGTAGAAAGAAATATTTAGTTGGAAACCTAATTTTCAAATTTAAGTCACAATTCTCCATAAATCGAGTTTTGGATATTCTGCAATGAACACTTAAGGTAGAGATGATTTATTTTAAAGCTGTTGTCTCTGTTTAGCATATTCTTAATTCTTGCAGTAAAAATATTTAAATTATTTTTTGCTTAATTCAGTTTTTCTTTTTCCTAAAAATTCTTCCATGTTTACCGATAGTACAAAAATAATACAAAAAATAGTATGCCAAAAGCTGAAGGAATGGAATTCTGGAGAAAACCCATGGCCAGATGGGTAACAGTCTACAGTTTAGCACTATTGTGTTTGGCCACACAGTTGTTGCTGGGTTTTACCGTGTGTGTTCTTATTTTTTGTATTCTTACTTTTTCCTCTCTCTTTTTTTTTTTTTTTTTAAATGAACATGTCTATAAAGTATATTTAAAATTACATAAAACTTTCTGGACACTACAAGAGGAATTTCTACCTTCTCTTCATTTATTTGCCTCTGTCAAACGCTTCCTTTGTTGGTGTTTCAATCAATGAGGAACATAAACGCGGATATGAAAAATTTCTCACCCAGAGTATCTAAGTTCCAAGTTCTCTACTGAAAGGACTGAATGAAAATGAAACACCTTCAACATATCCTGAGAAATTACTTTTCCATACTTTCATATCCTTTATGCATATCCAAGAGAATGCAGCCTAAGCCTTCCATGTGACAATGAAGAAAGTCAGGGAGAAGGTGTCTAGCTGCCTTTGAGATGGACTCCAAAATGATCTGCTACTCACATGTCTTATAGAACAACTGATGAAAAAATAGCATGCTGAAGATAGCCCTTGTGCTACTTTTTCAATAGTTTTCCTGTGAATAAAACATCGAAAGCTACAAATTTTAACGAAATGCCAAATATATTAAAATAAACCTGAATCCACTTCTACCCACAGACTGGATTCCACCAACTTGAATTTCTAACTTCTGTTCTTACAATTGAGATTTCTGCCAAACAAAGACTTGATCCCTAACAGTGGAAATGCTAAGCCTGCCAAGAGAGTCTGCTGTACTTTAATCTTCTTTCAGTTTCACAGAAAGATACAATACACTCACTTTTTTATTGATGTAATATGGGTCCAGGTCTTCCAAGGGCTCAGATACCATTCCTGGAGGTATATCGCCGTAAATAAATGGCAGGGTCTTTCCTGCCTCCAAGTCGCTGTTTGGCTTTGGGCCATCTTCATCATCATCATCTTTGCGTTCTTGTTTGGATTTTTTAGCTTTTTCTTCATTGATACGTTGTTCAATAGCTGCAAGTGATTCTCTTGTGAAATAGCGGAAGCTGTCAGGTCCTGGTGGTACGAGCACTGACTGTGCCATCTTTTCATCCTGCACCTCTTAATTACTGTTTAGCCTCCCTCATAAAAAAAGCGCTAAAAATATAAACACACACACACAAAATTAGGGCAACATAAATAGTCACATACAATGCAAAAGAATATACCTGCACAGAAACTTCTGTGGGACATCTTCCTTAAATACAGTAATTATCAACCAAGAGGAAGTTGCTTTTTTTCATTTGCTTTTATTTCAGAATAAACCATTTTCCTTTGCAGCTTGCCTGTTGGTGGTAACATTTAATTTAAAATTTTATTAATACTTTTCAAGGTAGTTTGGCAAGAACAAAACAAAACAAAACAAAAAATGTATAAAAATGTCACATGTAATGCAATAACGTCTTTTCTTTTTCAATGGTAATGAATAAAATAGAAGATATTTTTCCAGCACATTCACTGTGAGGCGTCAGCAGTTCTGAACTGTTTACAGATCAGTGTTGAGGAGTTAGAATGCAGTCAGTTCACATCTTTATTATCCTGCTTAAGCTGCACCTTGAACCAACCATCCCTCAGCTAAAAGGACCAAAAATGACTCTTAGAATCCACTACTGGCGCTTAGGGCCAGAGGGCTCAGTTGAAAACAACATGAGATGCTCCTTCTGTTCAGGTACAAATATGCTGCCTTTGCAGAGCTGCCAGCTCAGGAAACAAGGAATCAGGCACAAGCACCTGTATTCCGATCCCCTGCCTGGCAACACATTGTGCACTGGAAGAATTGCTGAATTAAACAAAAATTGTATTCAATCATTAGATAACGCACTTTTAGGATTGATACCATACAAAATGTACAGTAACATTTTTAACTTTTCACTAACAAGGGCAGAACATTTTTTCTTAATAGCTCCAGACAGCTCAGTTAAAAAGAACAAATGAAAAATATTCCTAATGCAAATACTTCAATCTGAAATCATAAACACTACCTCGGCTGTAGCCTTCAATTATTTTTCTCAAGTCCTTATCCTGAGTAAGCACATTAAAAATCCAGCAAATGCAATAAAAAAGTAACTTCTCTGTAAGTCAATATAACCAAGAAATGATTATCAAATTAAAATAATGCAACAGTTAAAATACAATCTGAATAATCCTATTTTCCTAAATATACACATTCCTGCACAGCAGCAACAAATTCGGATTTTGGAAGCCTGCTAAATAAACCGCAGCACAATGCTTTCCCCTCCTTTTCATCCACATGCATATGGCTCTTTACACCTACACAGACATCCACACACATCCCAACTTCTCCCTACAAACAACCCCTTCCATTTCAGGCAAAAGCACCTGGGGCATTCTGTCATGGATGGTCTGTAGCAAATTGCTGCAAGAACACATACACACACTGGCAGCGGCACAAGGGTTAATTAGGAAAATGCAAGTGGTCCTGCTGCAGAATCCTGCCAGATTTTATTGTTAATCACAAACATTTTTAAAAGGCATAATTCTGTCTTAATACTGCTGGAAACAATTAAAAATTCATTACCAGTGTAGAATCTTGCACTTACTGGGTTTGGAATGGCACCCAGGAACACTGCAGCTAAATTCCATCATGTCTTTTCCTTCTTTTTTTTTTTTTTTTTTTTTTTTTTTTTTTTTTTTTTTTTTTTTTTTAAGTCTCCTACAGACCACACCTAACTTCCTGCTGAAGGATCTTGGTTATTGAAGTCAACCCCGGCATTTCCTGGGAGCCTACTCGGTGTTGTAACTCTTTCTGCCACTAGATGGTAGTGATGTACATCCAGAAATTCGTGTCAGAAATGGCAAAGAATTTTTTGCACACTCAAGCACTTGCTTAAACTGAGACTCCGCGACTAAAATACATGACTTTATATAACCAGCCAGGTCTCAGGATACTCACAAATTCTTTTGAATATAAAGCAGCTACTGCTGTTGAGACGATAGCTGTTAAAACTGAAAGGTGACACCGAAAAGAAAGTAGGAGGGATAGCAAAAAGAGAAATAGGAAAATGGAGGCTGCACAGTGTACAACAAAGGCAGTTGCTGAGTGTCTCTGCAGTCTGGCTTATTTTAAATTAAAGCTTTTATTTTTTAAAACACATTTATACAATATGTTTAATGTTTAATCTAGGAAACTCAGCAATGCAAGGGAAGGACTGAAGTTTTTAATGCTCACTGCAGTAGTGAATTCCTGTACAGCAACTGCCATCCATTAGCAGGAAGCAAGCCGCAATCACCAAGGAGCAAGGAGAACTCCCAGATGGTAAACCAAGGAGATACCATTCCTGGCCCTGCAGCACCTAAATGCCATTTTGCTTCTTGTCTCTCTCACCCTTTCTCTGTATTTTCTACATTTACAGATTTTCAATCTTCTTTCTCCTGCTGCAGTAATCTCACTTTTTTTATCCTCTCTTTCTCAGCACCAGAAATACTCTGCCCTTCCCTCCTACTCCCAGCCATATCCAAATCTCTTTCAAACTTCTTGAGCAACACATTCCTGTAGTTATAGCTTCAGACCTGCAAGCAGCCAGTTACTTCTGTCCCTCAGTCACCTCCTTTCCTTGTGCTGTGAAAAGGATTAAGGAAGCTGAGGAAAGTAATAAAAAGCAAAGGGTCACTATGAAGTGAGAAAGGAAAATACAGAAGGTTAAAAGAGGCCGTTTCTGTGGCTTTTAAGAGAGGACAAGAAAGAGAAGGACAAATACCAATGTGATTCTTTGGCAATTGTGGCGAGAGAAAAAAACAGTCTGACTGGACCAAAAGAGAGTTTTCAAAAGTTTGAAGCAATTAAGAACAAATACACCAAACAAGAAATATATTTTAGTTGCATGAGAGCTATTGATTTGGTTTTGAATCATTTAGACATTACAGAATATTTAAAGATAATATTAAAAGTGCTTTTTAAATGAAAATTATTCTGATGGAGTTTTGTAATTTCATAAATGATTCCACAAAATCAATAGAAATTTTGCAAACATTTCTTTGTAACCAATTTTTTTTTTTTTTTTTTTTGCTAAAAAGCTTTGCATGAAAACTTCTGGCTGGTTTTAATTAGTATTGTGGTTTTCTTGAAGCAGCTCTGCAGTCTCAAAATAAAAGAATTAAGAGACAGCACAGATTCACAGGAGTAAAAGATCTAACTACAAAAGGATGCTTATTATTTACAGATGTAATTTGCACATATGTTTGTACAGCTGCTTAAGAAAATAAACCAAGTACCCGAAAAGCGTGGCTAATTCACACAATATAGAAAAGGAACTTCGCTCTGTTGTGACTGTTACTCCATGCTAAATTTTCTTATTAGCCTGATCGTATGTTTCTTATTGCGTGGACCAGAAATTACATGAGACATTTGATTTCCACAAGTGCTATACTATCTAGATAAACAGAATTAGAAAAAACAGTGAACAGTAAAGACAAAAAGAAAATAGGCAGTGGGACACTATCCCAGTACTTGGCCTGCCTGTGCTAGAGTGAAAGGTGAAAAGAACAAGAATTTCAGAGACATAGATACAATACGGTCTTTGCCATCTTTGCAAAAATATATGTACTTCTAAAGAGGACAGTGCAGTTGTACATCTAGAGAAGTTAGTAACAATCATTAAAATACAGTCATCAGATGCTATGTAGCTATATTGTGATAGATAAAATTAATAGAGATAGGAAGAGATAATGATCAAATCAAATCGTAAGTATCAATAAAATATATCTTACATTTAAAAATTCTTGTTCAAGCACATCAAAAACTACCTCCAATATAAACATGGAACAATGACAATTCTGATAACAGGTAGCTTCTGACTGCAGTGTCGCTTCCAGCCTGCAGCCATGAATGTACCTTAGGATTAATTCTGACACCAGTGGTATCCATGTTCCCACTTCTATGGCATGTAGGAAAGCATGAAGTGGTCTGTGTCCTCTCTTCTACTCATTCAGGAAAGCACTGATGGCCCATATAAAGGGCAGAGTTGAAGAAATGTTGTGTGTCCCATGTAAACAAATTTCACATGAAGGTCAATTATATTTGACAGCACAAAGCTGAGAAACTTGAGTCTTTTTCTGGATGTCTAGGAGCCATTCATCTACAGACAATCTTGATTAATAAAATAAAATGGAAAACAATAACCAGCCTCTCCTCAGAAAAATTAATTGTGTTTGTTCAGTGTAAAGGCTGAGCATTAAAATGCACAAGTGGCAACTTGCCATCATTCTGTGGCTCTGTTATCTTTTTACTCTCAGTTCTTTCCAGCTGTGTGTTCCTGTAGTCTCATAAATTGTCCTTAAGTGCATGCCTTTTCATTTAAAGATCTGAATTTCATCTCGTCCTAGTGATGCCAGTCATCAAGCTCATCTTGTCTTTTCTGCTTAACAGCTTGATCCTTCTTTAACAATGCCTTGTAACTTTGTGACTGGAACAAATTACATTGGCATATCTCCACTTTCTTTGATGAAACAATTAATAGAAAGATTAAATAGAATTTTTGCCAAAAATGTATTGGTAACCAGCAACTTTAACCAAAGCGTGGTTTACTATGGTATTTGCTGCAGCGTTCAAAATAGATTCTAAGAACATTAATCTTGCAAAGAGAGCCAAAGAGGGACATTGGGAAGAGGTATTGTTTTTCTTGTAAATACTACACATTTAATCACGTGCACTGCACCTAAAGAAATTCCTGGTACTTCTTCCCTCATGCTACTTAAAATATTTCTTCTCTTTTTATCTGGCATATAGGTAAAGAGGTGATGGGGTTGAAGTGAAGCAAGAGAGATTTGTTAGGAAAACCTTTTACCAGTGCCAACAGAGAAAGGGAGCAGACTTGCCTCAATCATTCAAGGGCTTTGAGAAAGGTCAAGTCTTGTAAAAAGATGTTATAAGAAAGATCAGCAGTGAGTGTGAGATTTATAGCAAACTCATCGGATGAGAATCTGGAAACTTGTAACAAACCCTTAATGTTTAAGGATTGTGTTTAAATGCTGTTTTTTAATGTTTTGTGCTGCTCCATCTGCTACAATTCTTCCCTGGCCTCCAGGAAGCAAAAGCTTGTTATTTACATACTGGAGATGCAGAAAAGAATGGGGTTTTG